AACTTCAGAATGAAGTCCGGAGAAAGTCCAGTGAAGTCCGAAGGACCTCCGGAGAAGCGTGGGAAACTTCGGAAGGACTTTCCGGACGAGTGCGAGAAACTTCCGGATGAGTGCGGGAAAGTTCCGGAGGAACTTCCGGAAATTATGATGGAGTTTCGTCCTGACGGGGATATGTATAATGGCTACTCAGGACGAGTCCTGAGTAGAAGGAAACAGAGGAAAGGCTGCAAGGACAAAGTCCGAAGCAGAATAGGTCCGGAGGACCGCGGGAAAGTTCCGGAGGAACTTCCGGAAACTCGAAGGAATGGAGGATCGGATGAGTGGATGAGTGGATGAGTGGAGGAGCGGAGGAGCAGAGGAGCAGAGGAGCGGAGGAGCGGAGGAGTGGAGGAGCGGAGGAGCGGAGGAGCGGAGGAGCGGAGGAGCGGAGGAGCGGAGGAGTGGAGGAGTGGAGGAGCGGAGGAGCGGAGGAGCGGAGGAGCGGAGGAGCGGAGGAGCGGAGGAGCGGAGGAGCGGAGGAGCGGAGGAGCGGAGGAGCGGAGGAGCGGAGGAGCGGAGCTCCGGCCTAGGGAATTCCTCCCTAGGCCTGAGATGGATGATTACTAAGTCGGAGGAATAGAACTGTTACGAGGACTCAGTGTGAAGACTAGTGCGAGGACTAATATGTGTATGATATTCAGACTGAGGAAATACAGGAGTATCTACTGGGGTTTATATACTAGAGGCAAGTCTGTGCAGATCAGTAAGCAGAGGGGTAAGGCTATGTACGAGCATGTGGAAATGTATTAGAAAATAAGACGGATCATAGGAAATGAACTCGGAGATGAAATGAGGTACGGAAAATGAGGAAGTCTAACTCAAGAAGGAACATACAAAGGGATAAGGCACGGAAGATAGACGCGGGTCGGATCCGGATGTCCGGAGATGAATGCGTGATAGGTCTGGGTCCGGAACGCAAGGAAGATAGACGTGGGTCGGATCCGGATGTTCGGAAGTCCGGAGACAGGTGATTACCATAAGGGGATGGGCGCTGATTTAAGGTTTGGGTTCGGACATGACAGATAGGTCGGATCCGGAGATCCGGAGATGTGGATATCAGATCTGGCATCCGGATATCAGATGCAGGAGTACAGGGATCCGGACGGATAGAGGATTGGGTCTGGAGACATGGACAGGAGGTCCGGAGGTCCGGATGAGGCGTGGGAACGTCGTCAGATGTTGGTCCGGAATGCGGGATATGACATAAGCCATTGAAGCTCGTTTCCTTTGTGTAGTGAGAGGGAATGTACACTTGCATGATTCAAGTCTGGTTCACTCAATAAGATATCTCTTAAGTCAGTTTGCAATTTGCGAGTACGGCGTTGAATTTCGTATGTCATTAATGAACAAGGGCAAGAAAAATTTAACATATGTACTACCACTATTATACGACGACATGTATATGAAAAACGAGGGACGAGAACACAATAAGTCACAATTATGATATCATTATGATATCAAACAGAAGGTACTGAAAATGGTGCGAGAAATGTGTCAGTAGACAATTCAATGCATTGAGCAAGCGTGGACTCACTTTTAATAGTCCTATCTCCGAGTTCTCGATCGCTTGTTGATTTGGCCAATTTGGTTCGCCTGCGCCATACGGGTGGACTCCTGCCGAATACGACCAGTCTTTCGCAGTGTATTTGGATCAGCGGACTCGACAACCTCCATGACCGTGTCGACAGCCTTTGACGCTCGCTTTCGTTTTACCTTGAGTGTTTTCTCTGGTGCGCTATGCTGCACGTCTCCGTTTTGTGGAGTCTCCGCTGCAGGAGGCGCAGGAGGTATGGAAGGGAGAACCGGGGCAGGGAGAACCAGGGCAAGGAGAATTGGGGCAGGGAGAACTGGGGAAGGGAGAACCGGGGCAAGGAGAATTGGGGCAGGGAGAACCGGGGAAGGGAGAACCGGGGCAGGGAGAATTGGGGCAGGGAGAACTGGGGAAGGGAGAACCGGGGCAAGGAGAATTGGGGCAGGGAGAACCGGGGAAGGGAGAACCAGGGCAGGGAGAACTGGGGAGTGACGTGGAAGGGAGTGGGAAGGGAGTGATGGGGAAGGGAGCGACGGGAACATGAATTGCGGGGTTGCTATAGGTGGCAAAGAAGGTAGCGAGTGTGATGCTGCCAATTGGGTAAACGAATGTGGTGTGATTGGGGACAACTGTAGTGCAGGGGGGAAAGAGTTTGATGAAGACAGGAATGAGCGCAGTGCAGGTGGCGTCCTCCAGGTGGAAGAGCCTATAGATCCATTGGGCATGCTTGGAGATCCGTCGAGTAAGGGGCAGAGAAGAGGCGGTGGATTTTCCCAATTCGGCGCGTCAAATGAGGCCTTTGTTGTGAATGAGACGTCTTGGATGTTGTATCCGTTGGATGACTGCAGACCGGCATCGGGGAAGAAAGAAACAGATGGGTCATGGAGGCCGTAGCGCTCAGTGGAAGCAGGGGGTGCAGATAGAACCAGAGGCGGTGATTGAAAGGATGTTGTAGCCGGAGGTGTTGTGGTAAGTGCGTCTGGCTGAGAGCAACCAGAATCAAGTGACTGGGAAGCGGATGGGGCGGATGGCATACTACTAGATGCTGAAGCATCATAGTCGAGTGCATGTGTCTTCCTGATGTGCGGTGCTATATTTGAAGTTGCAAACATTAATATTGAACATCGAGTCTTTGCTAGTATGAGGAAAACACTTACGAAAAACTGTGCTAATGAAGTCAACATACACCTTCAAGTGTGTCTCGTTGAAGTGTGGTGTCGCTTGTTTCCAATTGAGACCAGTTGCATTCACACCTGAATGGTAACTGCAGTGCCTGTGAGATTCCCGCGCTCGCAAATCAACAACAACATCTTATCTACCTCATAGCATTTATATTTCCGTCCAAACGTGGGTCTGGTCCAGTGCCGATCAGACTCCATTCCCAACCCGTCATGTCTTTAATGACTTGCATGAATTGTGAAATCGGACCCATACACTCGGTAAGTGCCCTATGAAATCACCCATTGAGCAACTTAAAGCGGGAGTGTTGTAGAATGGTTCGTACCTAGCGTATTGTGCATTGGTAGGGGCCCCATCTGTCTTCTTGAGGACTTCTGATGCCTTGGCATCCCGTTCTGCCTGAACCTTTGCCCGACACAAGGCCTTAACATCCTCACTCGCGTCCTCATAAGCTGTGCGTGTCATTAATTTCACAGCTCCCAACTTTTCACTCTTGGTAAGGCTGCCTGAAGCGATGCTCTCCTTCACTTGCGCCTGAACATCATCCGCATACCTCAACTTCGAGAATACCTCAGCCTCTGTGTGGATTCGTGTGCCCTTGGCTTTGTTGGTGAGCATCTGCCGAATTGTTTTGCCCATTGCGTTTACAGCAGAGCGGCCGCTTTTCTGAGAACGGTAGTTAAACCAATTCTTGATTTTCTTGTGAAACGGTAAGCGGGTCTAATTGATTCTCATGAAATGATAAACTCACCTTTTGCCTGAGTTCAACAGCTGCGCCTTTCGCCTCTTTTTGCTCTTCTGACAAGACTTCTGGCACTTCACCAAAAATTGCAAGTTCCTCAGGAAACCTTCTGAACCACTCCGAGAACACAGAGCCCCAGAATTGCATAACAGACGCCCTGACTTGTGCCTTCAAAAAATCGTTGTACTTCGACTCAAGAAAAGCTTTCTGGTCTGGTGTTGTCCATTCTGCAGGCGGCATCTGCCCCACCGCATCAGTGTCATTTTAATTTAATTTATGAAATGTATGTCATGGCTTACCTCGGTCTTTTTGACAGTCGTGTCCTAAGTTGGAGAGTTTGCGCCCACCAACCCAAAATTATAGTTCAAATGCACACGAGGTCAGTCAGTTGTCCAATCACAATGCATCGGAGCTAAAATTAGGCTCATATAATCATGCTATAATCATCCTCGGTTGAAATTTTCACTCCCGCTTGCTCCAAATGACGGACCCTGACACTGCCAACTCATACAATGTACCTGAAAATGGATACTTTGGGCCAGTGTTTACCACGAGCGAGCTCACAGCAGCACTACAATTAATTCATGACCAAGGTATGTTACGCACACAGATACCTGCCAGCTCACGTACTTGAAATTCACAGTCCATAACTCCCCCGGCTCATCTGAAACTGGATACTATGGGCCAGTATTTGCTATGAGCGAGCTCGCATCAGCGCTTCAATTGATTCACGACCAAGATGGTATGTAATTACCTACTAGATCTGCATTATGTATTGACCGATGACACCAAGCAATGACAAAAGCTCACGATGGCTACTCACTTGCCGACGCACCCTTACCATCACCTGGTTTGCAAGGCTGTCCTGCTTGCATCTTCCATACTCATCGTCAGACTTGTTATGTCTGCCGCACACATATTTCTGCATGTCACGCATCATCCTCCACTGAGTCTATGTCACTCACAACAAACGCTACAGCAAATGACAACTGTGAAAATGACACTGTACGTGTTGATTCAGTACGACATATCTGAAACTGACGCGGGGATCTTGATCATATCAGGTTTTAACATTGCAGCAACAAAAATTCACTTAGGGAGAGTTTAATGGAGTATCTCGTACATACATGTTCACTTATGTACACCGTGTTAAGCTTGAACTTGAGCGCTTGAGCAATTAAGACCCTCATGAATGGATCAATTAACACTTTTGGTCAGACCGAAACCCGTGCTTAATTGATATGGTACTACTACACCAATGCTTTATGGTCAGACCGAAACCCGCGTGCTCAAGATATGACGTCGGACTGTGTATACTCATAATGTTTGTAGAGAAATAAGACCCTCATTCAAATGGATCAATTAATACTTTTGGTCAGTGTATTGCGAGAATTGTATTACATGTAGTTTTGGTCTGACCATTGCGCAAGTAGCTTTGGTTCAATTGAGTTATGGTCTGACCAGAACCTTTGCGCTTCTTTTCAACCAACTAAAGTTACATCTCACACCATGTCACGTCCTCCTACACATAAAACAAATGAGGCTAAACTACAAGCTGTTCGTGAAAAGAACCAGCGCCACTATGCGAAGTACGTTTCTTTAATTAACTGTGTGCGGTGCAATGTTCCTGACTGGGCAACCAATTGAAGAAACAGAGACCGTATACTCAAAAGACGACGAGAACTTCGTGTTGAAAAAACAAAGCCATCACGGGGAATCTGACAGTTTGAGAAGGCAGCTGCGAGAGCCTTGAAAAGCTGTGACGATGAAGATGAGAGTGACACTGAGCTGTCAGAGACTGATGAATCTAGCGATGATGAGAATGACACACCATATGTTTTATAAATAGATACTGATATGACGAACATAAAATTAACAATTGACATTCAACAGATCAGATCTTCCTGGGTGCCTCCTTGCTCTCAAAGGTATCAAGGACGAGATGTTGTCATTGACCGATGATCGTGAACCACAGAAATTTGTCGAGGACAAATTCCTTCAATACGTCAAAAGCATCAAATACACCAATGACCGTGGTGATAATGGTGATGTCACCATTATCTCAAACACGATGCTCAAGGTTCAAGATATTCTAAATCACACGATTCGTGTGCAAGATCAAATCCTTAATTTTTGTGGCCCAATCTCGGATGAGTTTCGTGCAGCTAACTCAGTGTCTCTATTTCTCAGCACCGTAGTTGCATATCTTGAAGATATTGATTATTTGATTCACTGGGGGGGAGTTTCGGAACTTTGCATTGCTCACTCGTCAGGGGAGTTAATGTATCAGAAAAACCTCCGTGTTTGAGTCACGTTCACACGGATGTACTAGCGTATGACCGACTTGCGTTTGCCTCATGTTTACTAGCAATACATCTACCCACCACATTCCAACGATCATGGTTAGCAAACGTCGACGACAATATGACAAAGACATGCGGGAGAAATTTTATGTTCTTAATCAAGAACTTGAACAGTCTCGTCAACTTGCCTCAGCCACGACAGAGAGAGAGGAAGTTTGTCAGCCGTCAACCTCCAAGCACAAACACACTTCATTCACTCAGACCCAGGATACGAGTTGCAGTAGACTATCTGCACAAGTCGAATATTTTGAAGGTTCAGCATCCACAAGCACAGAACATCAAGTTTTACCAGTGTGTGATCCTCAATCTTTCAATGACTTGGATTTCAACATCGTGGATGGTGCGCATGAAAACTACTTGGAAGATACCAACATCGAGCCTACTAGAAAGCGAAAACGCACTGCAGGGGTAAGTCACAAGCGCACTGAAAATTTGGATTTGTGAATTAATTTTGTGCAGGATTATCCACTCGCATCATGGCTTCCCGAACGAGATGCCTTTATCCTGGAGATGTTAAGATTGGAAGGACGCGGAGACTTCATATCTCAAGCCACTTGCCGTGGAACTTATGGCTGCTCTTTGCCAGCTGAATTTCATTGCGAGGATTGTTTTGGCACCGAGCTATACTGTCAGTCATGCACTGTGGAGAGGCACCATGAGCATCCATTGCACAGGATTAAGGTAAGCCGCTTGAACGATTTCACAAAAATTATCATTGAACATCTCTTAGCATTGGAAGGACGCGTTTTTTCACGATGTCACACTCAAATCTCTCAGACTGCGAATTCAACTGGGACACCCCACCCAAGAGCGCTGCTACAACCCAGCTGCTTGCCAGGATTTCGTCGTACTCCACGTGAATGGCATTCATGAAGTCAGTTTAGACTTCTGCGGGTGCGAGACCGCTCAAAGTCCCACCACCCAGCTGCTTCGCATTCGATGGTTCCCTGCAACAGTCCTAGAGCCAAAAACCGCAGCAACATTCAAGCTTCTTCGACATTTTCACATTCTCTCATTCGAATCTAAGGTCTCCACGTTCGAATATTGGCAGACCTTAACGCGTCTTACTCACAATAGAGGTGTGGTCATTGTGAAAGTAAGATAACTTTTATTTGCGGTTTTGTAAATATCTGACACTCAATGATAGGATCGTTATGACGCTCTACTTCGAATGATACGGGAATGGCGAAACATTACTTTGCTCAAACGCTTTGGACGGGGACACGATCCCGCAGGTACTGGAGCAACAGAGCAAGGCTCATGTGCCGTCTTGTGTCCGGCTTGTCCTCAGCCTGGTAAGAATCTTCCTGAGAACTGGGAGAGTGCCCCGTCAGAAACTCGGTATGGGCTTCAACCTGTATTGTTAGAATTGCGCTGATCAACGTTATCCAGCTGGTTATATGCCTTGTTTCTTGCGATTGACACCAACTTCCGTCTGGCACACAAGAATGTTTCTTCGGATCAAATGGACCCTGGGCTCAACCGTGGCTGGGTGTACTTCGTGGAGGAACAACAATACAAGACATTTCTTACTGATGTCGGGAGATGTCTGCAGGAGGTGAAGTCATTCAATTTAAATGAGAATCCTGTCTGACAGCTACTTAGAAAAGCACATGCGCAAGCCATAACGCAGTCAACTTAGCGGAAACGAAAAACTCTCGGGGCCTGGCAGCCACTGGAGCAGGAACCATTGACTGCTCGCGACACAATTTCAAATGGCCCTGTGGTGTCGGTGACTTGCAAAAAGGCGAAAAGTACATAGTCGATGACATGCCTGATTTAACTCTGTTACTGATGCTTGCTTTTTTATAGGTACGTGAACATGGATTATCTCTTCTTTTCGACCATGCAACACACGGGGGATGTCGCGGTCCTGAACATATCTTATGACATCGCTTGTCAATGGAGTACGAATTTGTGGCAGCGCATGCATCGATACCCATCTATGATACATCTCCGCCACCACGATAACAAGACCATCACATTTCTTGTGCCGAAATTCCATCTTCCTGCGCACATTGAAATTTGCCAGATTACTTACTCTCACAACCTTCTCAAAAGCATGGGGCGGACAGATGGAGAGGCACCCAAGCGTGGCTGGGCCAACATCAATCCAGTCGCTACGAGCACTCGTGAGATGGGCCCAGGATCACGCCGCGATACTCTGGACGACCATTTTGGTGATTTTAATTGGAAGAAGGTCACTAATATGGGTAAGTCATTCAATATGTCTTCGTTTAAGTACATCTGACTCATTATTTAGGTGTCAGTCTATCACGAAAGCTTAAAGCTGCTGTTCCTGAACGTGACCAGCATGTACGTGATTTCGAAGACTTCAACAATGCACTTGAACACGAGAGACCTGAACAGGTGGCGGAATGGAGGTTGGCAGTGGAACGATGGGAATCGGATTCGTCACAAGAGAATCCTTTTGCGCTTACAGGCAAATGTATGTTACTAAATTGTTCGAGGAATGCGAAACACTCACTTTCTTCTAGCACTAATGCAAGCAGCTGTACAACTCAGTCTCTCTCAGCAAGAAGCTGACAACCTCGAGCATGGTATGGACGACTCACTGCATGAGGAAGTCTCGCGCAGCGTGTTAATCTCATCAGGAATGGAGATCGAGGATCAGCAGTAAGTCTTCGATTGTCAAAGTTTCATATATATGTTGAGGCTATTTTGCAGGTGTCGGCTTGCGAGAGATATCGAGCTTCTGGGAGGGCATCCAACTGACTTACAGTGCACGAAGCTTCAAGAACGGGGCAACATTTTACGACGCAAAATAGAACAATGGAGCAAGGTCCAACTTTTGTACATGCCGGTCGTTGCTCGCCTTCGCACATCGGATATGCCAACAAGCAGGACCCATTCGACTGAAGAGAAGGCTCACGAGATCGAACTGTGGCTTCCCTCCAAGATCTACGGAGATGCAACAGACCCTGTGCATCAATGTGATGCCACACTGAGTCAGTATGAGTGGGAGCTTCGCAGGGCCCAGGCATATGATGCGCTGGATGACCTCCGACGTCACCTGCGCCTACGCGCACATCTTTACAAGTTCAAAGATACCCATATTCGTGGCCAGCGAGCTAACACACGCGCGTCAGCCATCATTGACAAAGTCGAGTCGAATGTGTCTGTCGCTGCTGCAAGGTATCGCAGAGCATGGTCTGCACTCAAACATCTCTCCCCTGCTCTGTCTTGCACTACGTGGAAGGAGGAGTTCCCGAAACTGGAGAATGACGACATCCGCAGGATGTCTCAAGGCAAGCAAGGCCAATCGTCTGGCAACCGTACATTGTCCTGGATATGGAAGGCACGCGGCATAGCTAGTGACACTCCTGAAGGGGAGACGGTGCTCAATGAATGTAGGTCATGTTTTCTTTTATTATTTTGCAATTTCTGGTACCTAAATATTACTAGCATTAAGAATTGAATGGTGCAAGTCTCACGCACGAGCTACACGTTGGGTCGAGACTCGAGGAGGTGCAACTTCTTCAAGAGGAGATGAGGCGTGTCGCGGCATACCTCTTGTGGCATGCTACATGGTGGGATGTGCAAGCAGATCGTCGCACAGGGCTCGCGCTTGCAGAGGTTGAAGGTATCAGAGGATATGCAAAGCGTCAGGCAGCCGTGCGGCGGGATCTCCATGATACATTCCTTTCAAAGTGGGGTGCCGTGAATGGCACTTTTTAATTTAAACTGTGATCTATTTACAATGTTCTGACAAAGCAATCAAATTCATTGGTGACGCACTCCGGTCCTAAAAATACAAACATTTCCAGTACGGTCCTAAAAATTAGTGATGGCCAGGTCCGGTTCTGAACCGCGGTTCGAACCTGAACCGTTTCGAACCTGACCGAAGTCCGGTTCAAGGTTCAGGCAATAGGGAGGACCGAACCGTTGGTCCGGTCCGCGGTTCAGGGACTTGCAGAATTGCAGAACCGGTTCTGAACAGGTTCGAACCTGTTTGAACCGATGGCAAGTCAGTATGTAGTTTTATCTTTGTGGTTCTGAGGAGTGGGAACGGCCTTGTGCAGAGGACTGAGAACAAAGAGGTCAAGAAAATGAAATTGAAGTGATAGCGATGACTAGGCAACTGCACGGGTATGGGTAACCCGCACGGGTCGCGGGTAAGGGTACACCTGGGGTATGGGTGGGGGTTACCTTTCACGGCACCCGTACCCTTACCCATACCCATGCGCGGGTTAGACCATCCAAACACGATATATTGCTACGTAATTGACAACTCTGTACTAGTACCTATGCCAAAACAAAACCTTAAAGAAGCCACAACTGTCAAAAAATCTCCCATCCCATCGTCCTAAGCAAACCTGTCCCAGACTCATACCTCGCATCCAACCATGCAACCAAATATATTCACCGCAGCTGCAAAACGGGTCACGAAGCTGACGGATAAGGCCAAAGCGGCACTTGAAGAGAGACTTGAAGCTACTGGCCCGCCTTGGATGCCAACCTTCAAGACAACGACTTGGACATGGAGACTTTAGAGGAGGAATCACATAAGGTACGTCTTTTTTTAACTGTGACTACTGACTACTGATTCTATTCTAGATGAAAAACATATTTGATGACATGCCCGCCCTTGCTCCGCCAAAATCGACTGATCTCCGTGATGAGCTCGAGCACTATCTCACCTCTGACATTGAAAATGTTCGTGATGCACTTTCATGGTGGCACGAACGTCGTACCACCTACCCTCATCTATCGCGGATGGCATTGGACTACCTCACCATTCCTGGTGAGTTTTTTTTTAAATTGAACTCGCATATACTACAGCTAATAACGTCAACAGCCACATCAGTCGACGTTGAACGACTATTCAGCCGAGGACGGCTCTTGCTCTCACACGTTCGCTCACGCTTATCTGCACAATCGACACGCGCACTGCTGTGCCTCAGTTTTTGGAGCAAACTTAACCTGGTCAAGACCGACGATGTTCTCAACGTCAGTTCTTTGCCTGACGTCGAAGGTGATGAAGAGGAGCTCGAGAATGGGTGGGATGATATTATCATTGAGTAGCTATTGTACACTGTGTCGTAAATTTACCATATAGTATCTATGACCCGCGGGTACACCCTTGATGGGTTGTACCCCGGGTCCTTACTTCGCTATCCACTGCGCAACCCGTACCCTTGCTGCGGGTGTGGGTTTACCTCGGGGTGCGGGTGCGGGTTGACCTGCCGACACCCGGGGGTACACCCGTGCAGATCCCTAGCGATGACACACGTAAGCTGGTGAGACTCCATTGAAAAAACCATGGGGTACCTGGCGAGCAGGTGGACGTCGTTGGACCGGAGGTCGTGTAGCATTAGCCTAGTGTATGTATGTTGAGCCCAACAAGATCTTTGAATGAAGGTGTTACATACAAGGGCCAAGATCTCGAACAAGTTGTACGTTTTGATGAGTACTATACTATTGCCCCCTGCTGCTAGTGACGCCGAGCAGTATTTGGATTTGTTGATTGCAGCACTCTGTGACAACACAGATGATGAGGATGGTGAACTGGTCTAGTAGCATTTAGTATTACATGATGCATCTGTTGTTGGGTGTGTTTCAATATAATTTTTCTTGACGAAATTTTTATTAGTTTGGATGGTCCGGTTCTCGGTTCGAACCCTCACTGAACCAGAACCGGACCATTTTCGGACCGAACTGATGGTCCGGTCCACGGTTCTGCTTACTAGGAGAACCGAACCGATGGTCCAGTCCACAGTTCTCCTAATTTCCTGGAGAACCGGACCGAACCGGACTTTTCCATCACTACTAAAAATACTAACATTTCCAGTAGCATCGAGATCACAAGAGAGATCCCGATCTTTAGAACCACTGAGGCATCGTGCCTGGTATCATTCGAGTGACATGGGTGATGTGCTGTTGAGGACATTAAGTTTCATGAAGCTTCATGTTGGTAGCTCAGAAACAAACTTACAAAACGTACTGTGTATTATTGGACATGGTTAAGTATCACCCTGCCATGAACAGGTGCAGGCGTCGATGGCGCAACTGTATCTTTTGTCAAGTCGCTCTCCGGCCGGTACGATAAAATGTTTCATTCGGACCGCAGTAAACTAAAATTAAACTCGAGCTAACTCAATGTCCCTAGTATTTACACTGCCACCGTGATGCACTTGCAGCTCAATAGCTAAGAAGACCCATGATGTGTGTGAAAGAGATTTTTGACCTCTAAATGGAGTACTCCACTGGCGATGTCGCAGCAGCAAGGAGTTTGCAGTTCGCCACGGTATGTCTCCTTGGGGATGAGAGGATGAATCATAACTGACAAGTCATGTACACCAGTACATATATAGTGCGTACTACTGTCTGAACGTCATATTAGTTGTCCTGATACAGCTCAGCGTCGACGGCTACATTCTGGGTAGGCTTCAATTCTCATCTATTCATGTCCGCTGTCAAACTCTCTTATCCAGACCTATGATTATGTTTGTTCACTTCATGAAGAGGTAATACATTTCTTCCATGATACGGCGCTTAGAATTGATAGACACAATATGATATACAAAGTGGACGTTTTTGCTTCGATCGAACTGGAGCAAGATGAAAGGCTTGTATATTGTTACAAGATACCTTCCCTTTGTCGTTCTCATCACAGATCTATATAGTGCGTTCCGCTCCAGCACCATCGCCCTGGTTAACTGATTAACACTTGTTTTTCAGTGAGCTTTACCCCGAATGGGAACCCAAGTGTATGTGATTGGGTGGAGAGTTAATGAGAACGAGCGACTTACTCCATGACTTCGCCAGAAATGCAGGATGTTGGTCAATATTAGCTCAGGTACGTGCATTATACATTCATCTATGTACAGCCTTACTGAGGGCAGCCCACTTTCACTCACAGGGTTTGAAATGATATTAGCCATTTTCTCCGCGTGTATCTCTTCTTCCTCCCTAATATATGCATGTTGCTGATCCGATTCATCCAGTTTTTTTCATTCTCAGAACATATGCGCTCTGGAACAAAAATAGAATCTTGCTCGCAACCCTCTTGGGCATTTTTTTCGTGAGTTCGCAATCCACTCGCCATACACAAGCTAGTGGTAGATCCATCGACCAGCCGTTTCTCGTAGCATCCGTCAGCATTATCGTCGACACTGCTGTTTCTGCAACATGTACGCACTCTCACATTCCCTCTGGTGTAACTGAAACATTCTGTTCACCTTCACAGATGCGACTAGCCCGATCCCAGGCATCACAGGGTGCTACCAGAGTTCAGCCAGTAACCAGATTTTTATCCCATTCCTTCTCTTTTCTGTGTTCGGACTGGGTAACTTGGAGCATATATGTGTACCAACACGCGCTGACAGGTGTTCTCCCCAGGACTCATGATCCTCACGCTCATACGTTCCATACAGAGCTGGAGGACAAACTCAAATCGTCTGTATGTTGTCCTGGTGAACCATAACATATTCTATTATGCTTGCGCTTTCTGTGAGTTAACGCTTATATGCGCCATTTTTCTGTGCTCATCCATGATCATTCTGTTTCATGAAGTATTCTCGACAATGAACATCTTCACATCGCTGCTCCTCCAGGTGCGTGAATGTTCTAAATGCCTTCTATGATGCGCCGTTGATGTTCTGCGCCCCAGGACACGTACCGGACCGTTTTGAATAGGTATGCACCTCCGCATTGTACTGTACTCCTACTAATCACACTTGAAATGTCCACGCACGTGCAGTTTCCAGTTCCTGACCCTTGCGATTGTTGCTGCACGCATGCACATCCATCTCTGGCAGACAGGTCAACATCTACGCGGCTCGAGCGGCTTGGTTCATATTCCATTGACCGACATGTCATCTGTGAATGTCACGGCGTGATGTCTTATCCTGCGGTTTATTCAGTATCTTTCATGGAGCGAGGCTTGAACCATACGAGATGATGGGTAGGGGTTTGGTAGAGTTCGTTACGTGTTTGATTTACAGGATGAGTCTGTCGCGGGGCGGGTGGAACATTTGGATGTCCTTGGTCCATTTAACAACTGTAGTTTCAGCTACTGCACACGATCATGTATACTACGACAAAGTGCACTTGGTCATCCATGCACAATTATATCGTCATTCAGTACGTATCCTTTTTGCACACCCTGACCCTGTTTGTATTCGGTCTCCTGTGTCGTTCGGATATTCTATGTGGGAGCGGGTGGGTCATTACACCGGTACAACTTCATGCTTGCTTCGATCACGCGTTCCCTTCTTGAGAGAAATAGATCTATTTCGTGCGCCTGTACATGGGACGGAGCGAGCTATGTGTAGAATACATGATGCGTAAGAGATAATCGAGTAACAGGGTTTCTAGAGGATTTTATGACTGACGCGAAGTGGGAGGACGACCAAAGTAAAATCCGCAGCAGCAACAGGTAACTTCGTAAGAAACGTCTCCCCTCCCACCGGTTGACTGATGTGTTTCTGTTGGTCGTGCTTGAGACCCTTGTGCCACTGCTGGTTGACCTGATTGCGTTGCACTATCGTCCTGGTTGCTGGTGGTACGTTGCATAGCTGCAGCCGCTTCCGCATCAGTTTCATGAACAATGCCATATCTCTGTATTGTATTTTAATGGAACGAAATTGGAGGAACGATGAGTCACTCACATCTTCATCTTGCGCAAGAGGTACATCGACGGTGGGCGTGGAATGTCCTCCAGAAAACAACTTGAAGTTGAAATTCCAGTGTCGGGCCCGTCGTTCGATTGGTTGGGATGCATTTAGAGGTCGTGTGCCGAAATGTGTGGAACTGAACAAACGACGCCAACGAGTAAGGGACGATGGGCTTGCGGGAGGAGCTGCACGACGAGACGCGTGGTCTGATTCGTCGCCAAAGAAATCATTACCCTGTATCTGGGTGTCAGGCGAGGAATGTGCAGAACAAGAAAGTACACTGACATATCTTGCTATTCCTGTTTTTTTAACCTGCTGATTAGACGCAAGACGGGGGTCAAAGGTCTAACGAGACATGAGAAAAGTTAGGGTTGCTCACGATTGGTGGGCGCACAACTCTCGGTTGGGCTGGACGTCTCTAGTTAAAAGTGAGATGTAGTGTGAAAGAGAAGCAGAGAAGCAGAGAAGACTTACCTTGAGCTTTGCATTGCCATCATCTGAGCCCTAGATGGCCCAAACAGTTAGGAAGGGAAATTAGACAACAAAACGTACACGTACCACAATGTTTTTGAGCGCTGCTTCCAAGCTCCATACATAGATTTTTTTGTCTATTCCAGCGCTGGCAATGTATTTTCCATCGGGGGACGTGACAACAGCGAAGAGTGCGTCATCATGCAAGAGTGGATCTCCGACTGCCTGATTGGTCTTGAGATCCCAGATGCGAATGGAGAAGTCCATTGATGCGCTAACAATATACCTTTCATTGAGACTAAGACAGAAGGATGTCACAGCGTTGGTGTGACCCCAAAGAACAACGAGTTCCTGTCCATCAATCGCCCGCCATTTTCGGATGGTGCGATCAACTGAGGCAGAAAAGATGTGTGCGCCGTCCTTGGACCAACACAATGACGTCACCCCGTTTTCATGTCCCTTGATTTCGATATGTAGCTTTCCGTCCCTTGACCACACGCGGATCACCATGTCTGCACCGCCGCTCATGAATTTGTCACCTTGTGGAGAGTATTTGACGGCGTCAACCCATCCGTGACTAGTCTCTATGGGTGGTGCTATTTGTCGACCAGTATCCGGATTCCAGCGTCGTATGGTGCCGTCTTGCGATCCACTTGCTATCTCCAGGGAATTGCGAGACCAATCAAGGCAGCTCACTGGAGCATTATGCCCCTCCCAAGGGTCACCGATCATGCTGCCCTCCTTTATATTCCAAAGCCGCAGTCTGCCGTCTCCACTCCCACAGACGACCATTGTTTCATCTGAGGATACTACCATTGAACCTATCCCTCCCCCATCGCTATTCAAAGGTTTTCCCACTGTCTCTCCGTGTCTTTTCCACTGACGAATCGAACTATCCTCAGACACGCTCATTATAATACCACTGGTATCCAAGCAGGCAAGGCTCCATATGCATTTGGAGTGACCCTCGATGACGCACTCCGGCATCAAGCTTCCTGCCGGTCGTTCTGGCTTTGGTTTCTTCCACGACGTTATCCGAGTGTTGTGGTTGACAAAGTAGGACCGACCGAGTGGTGAGATGTGCCATTCCCATCCAGGAACAGCGAGATATTCAGGAAAATCTATGTTCAACGGTGAGTTCGTCGCTCCTTGTCGCAATTTCATCACTCACCTAGTCGCACTCCTGGTAAAGGTCGGTTCAACGAGGCAATCATCAGCGTGTCATCTTGATAGTGTATTACACCATCCGACGACGTCTTAAACTGTTGCCACATAGGAGGAAGCGCTTCATTCCCGCCTGCTTCCAATTTAGTATTCTGGTAGGTATCACAAGGTAGCTGCTCACCTTCCCAAAGTGCGTCCTGGCGGTGCTGTGCACCATATGGTGGTGGATCTTTCGCGCTCGTCCGATATATCGATGAGTGCAATGGCGCTTCACCTCGTCTCGTTGACATGCTTGACTCGGCTTCTTCGTGTTGCATGACGAGGACGTCACGTTGTACAGACAGACTGGACAGTGAAATACTGCGCAAAGTCAGTAATCGAGAGGATGGAGAGATACGGCGCGAAAGTGATGAAGAGATGGTCAGTTTTGCATGCTGTAGTTGCAGGCGCCCTGCTGACACCGCATGTCAATGGCTGTGTTACCACCGGATCAAGTGCTTACCGTAGTCCGGCTCAAATTTTGAGGCAATTCATACCGTCTCGTCAGCGAGTGGAATCATATGATGTTTGTTTGAGCTGGTGACAAGTGATTGCATGACCGACGGGAACATATCTTGATGTTAGCTGCGCGATATTGCTGCTATCATCCCCAGTGGGCGTTGGTAGTGCCCAAATCAAAGTTTTCTCATCTCAGTACTAAGCAGAGAGTTTCAGACGTTCGACATCAAGCCGAAGTCATGTTCAGAACTTCAGATTTTGAATAACAATCAACTTCACCAGCTTTCCTACATATTGAAGTCAACCGTGACCTTGATTCATTGACCTGAGGAACCCTGATGTAGGCTACGCGGCATTAACCTGAACGCTCTCACCTGTCTGCGTGACCTTCTGCATGACTTCACCCACAGCCGAACTGTTAGCGCGCGTTTGTGCACTAGAAACAACCTCCAGCACGCTCGCTAGGCCCGCCTTCCACGCAACAAGACGCTTTTCCAGTGCCTCCCATTGCTCTCGCTCAAATGTGCATACTGATGAACGGTAAAGGTGTAGAGATTGGGTAGTCTGCAAGAGCTTTCCCGACAGAAGACCGGTACTTACTATTCAAAAATCATTATAAACGACAGGATGTCAAGAGGACGTACCATCGATCGCCCACTTCTCTACTTCACTCAATTCAATCTGTAGGATCGACGCGACCTTCGAATACGGTAGGTCATGCCCGACGCGTGCAAAATCCAGTGACGCAAATTCAAATCACAAGGTGAATAAAACAGCGCTAGGTCTCAACTGTCTGTCCTGCGGGAGATGCATCGATGAAAGTTGGTGGCAGAAGTTGTCCGGAAAGTGCCGGGAAGTCTGTCGATCTGGAACAAGGCCAAAGTTTCTATAAGTAATATGTATATCGTTGAGCTGAACGTTGAACGAGTTAACTGTACAGCCACTCGACACGTAACCGCTCATATTATCTAAGCCGCATCCTGATAAATTTTTGCATGTCGTCTGGAGGACGATTTGCACCTTACAAAAATGCTCTCACCGCGATTTCTAAGAGGGCGGGAACACCACTACCTTCTCTCGTAGTCTCTTTTGCCATCCTTCATGAATTAACCGCCATCGTTCCCATTGTGGGCATTTTTTACACAGCACGCAGTCTAGGCGCAGGCGAGCGCGTTGTCAACGCTGTTGCTCTCCAACGAGATGGCTCTATCGATGACCAGTATTGGGTGAACGCCCGGCTGAGAGCGTGGGTTGATGAGGGCGAGCAATGGGCTGGTCGCGTTGGACGTCGATATGGCATCTTCGGCTTTGAGAAAGGCAAGGTCGTCGACCAGACCCAGGCGCGCGAGTTGTCTGGTAAGCTAGCGGGGGACGTTGCAAATGCGGTTCTGGCTTATGGTGCAGTCAAGGTATTTTTTTCTTTACTACGGTTGGGATAGTGACTGATATTCGTTCAGGCACTTTTACCCGTCCGCATTGGTCTTTCGTTATATCTTTCTCCGATGTTCTCTCGGAAAGTTGTAGAGCCGATTCGATTGGGGGGCCTTCGTCTATTAGGACGCAGACCGAAATTTATGTAAAGGTAGGTGACGTTCCTACTTTTTTTTCATGATGATTTCGCTTGCCGCCCCAGTCGTAGCTATAAGCGTTGACGAACGGTAGAGCATAAGCCAAATATTTGCACCACTGATTCTATCCTTGTCTCTTCTTTCCATAAATTCGAAGCTTACTATCTGTCTCACAGGTTATCGTTATATAAATGGCACATTCCTCCTAGTAATGAGCATACCCTTTTGTCACTCAAAAGTCGTCTTATGCAATGCTCATTTCCTCCGATGTGTTTGGACCTTTTTTTTCGCTCCCAGTCAAATTGGCTCTTCAAAGACTCGTTCCACCTTTGACGATGCCTCATTCCCTGGGGAGAGCGTTTCTATCTCGTCCTAGTGTCTCGTGCTACATGCGATCTCAGTGGAGCACATCTGGATGATTTAGGCACATGTCGTACCTTCATGCTGTAGCCAAGAGTCTTCGGACTGCTAACGTATGTTATTAGATCGCTGTTTGTGTTGTCGACTTCTGATATGGATTAAATTGTAAACTTTCGCACTGGTCTAGACCCATCTTGAGATGACGATGGGATGGAATTGACCTATTCTGCCAACATCTCTGTTCGGCGTCAGCGCGACTAACGCTGCATAATGTCAAAGCAATGCACACTGTCAAGTAAGTGAAACATTGATCGATGTCATCACTGCATATTCATATAATCTCAAGTTAACACGTCATGATCAGCGCATGCAAGAATCACGTACGAGAGTACCATTCGATCATAAGCTCAACACCTCTGTCAGGTGCACTTCGACGACAATAACTTGCAGCTTGGTGAAACATTCTGTCCACCACAGTAGAGCATCAAGTACGGAGTGACGACCATCGCCACGCTGTGCCAACCTGATTAACTCGTGCACGCGAGCAGGATGAACAAGCCTGCATATCGTCAACTTGTCAAGCTCAAGGACGGCGTCCAACTGACTCGGCTGGTCAATATCACCTTTGAGTCAGCGATCTTCTCATGCTCCTGGAATCTCTCATCCGACGCAAGCTTTTTTCACTCGTCGCAGGGATCAGCTGAGATCGCGCAGTAGTTTACAACTGCTCAGTCGCCAGAGGGAATGGTAAATGCCGGCATGGTATACCTTGGTTTTTTCTCTAGCGGAGTATTACAGAACTGGAATGTGCTTCGCCTATAGTGGATAATAGATATATATAATTGTTAGAAGCGTTTGATGGATCCTCGGCTGCCTGACTTTGCGAAAAGACCGACATAAATGTGCTGATCTTCAGGAACCTACATGCAGGACGTGTTTGGGACTTGATCAGCTGGATGTTGAAAAATTTGGTTCTTGTCCGAGATTGATTCAATACTTGACAGACCAGTTTTCATGTAGTCCAGTATAATGAACGTTGAGCGGATGAAACATGATGCTCATCATCTTGGAGTCATGGAACGTTCCTCTTGTTAGCAAGTGTTATTAAGTCCTAGTATGCACTGCACGAGTATCACGACGGGAAAACACGATCGACGGCGTAGCGAAAGAGATATAGATACAAAGAAGACGAAATAGTTTTCGTGTGTTACAGCATTAACGACCATTGGTGCTTGGAAGAGGTGCACAACAAATCAAAAGCACCAGACGGGCCAACAACGTGAGGACTCGTGACTTCATGGTCACTGCAGCTGCTGTGGGAGCCTGAGTGCTACTATTTGGAACAGGCGTCGGAGTACCGGTAGGTTGAGATTGCGATGATGATCCCTGACCATGCGATTGGCTGCTCTGCTGCTGCTTCTGTTTTGGCCGGGGTGCAACAAACAAAGTCTACAGCGGAATTATTGAGCCACGGTGGATGAAAACGAATGGGAGGAATGAATACCTGTTTGTCCCGTACTGCAGCAACTTGGACAGCACGAGGACCACGACGAGAGAAGATCCCTTGCCTTTGGGTTTGTTGAAGTTCGTCGCCGGCGCCGGAGCGAGAGCGATGAAAAAGCGACGGAATGCGGGCAAAGAGTGCACGTGCACTCTCAATAGATGGTGCGAGAACGCGATGGGAAGAAGGGTGATGAACACCAGGCGATGTGGAGGACTGATTGCAAGACTCGGAGGTGAGAATAAGAACTGATTCAAAAAAACGCCGAGAGCCCACATGAATCTCAAAATCATCAAAAAAAGTTGGAGGTATTCGACGGGCATGAATAGGTGGGAGTCGGGTAGTATTGCTCTAGAGTGATGACCTCAATGAAATGGTTGACAACATTAATAAATACGTCACATACGTTCGTTGGTGGGTTTGCAGCTGGCACCTGCGAGTGAGAAATTAGCGCGTAGAGCCATGATATTGGAAGGTAAATTAGACAAAAAAACGCATACATACCACACCGTTTTTGAGCGCGGCCTCCAGATTCCATATATAGATTTTTTAAAATGTCTATTCCAGCGCTGGCAATGTATTTTCCATCGCGGGACATGACAAGAACGAAGAGTTCGTCATCATGCAAGAGTGGATCTCCGACTGCCTGATTGATCTCGAGATCCCAGATGCGAATGGAGCAGTCAGCTGATGCGCTAATAATATACTTTTCATCGAGTGTACATCAGGAAAAAACATGTTGACTATATAGAACTATATAGTCAGGGTAGTGCGTGTAGTTCCGTAGTCAAGTCCCTTCTATGTAGTCAGCGCTGTACTACATAGTATCACGTAGCAGCTACGAAGTACTACTGTAGTTCGTAGGAGTGCTACTACATGCAACTACCCACAGCTATATAGCACGCAAAAGAACCCATAGTTTGTCGGAGTGCGCAGCAACCAGCAGCTAAATTGCATGCAAAAAAAACCAATAGCGTCTGAATTCGGGTACCCAACACACGAGATAGTATAGTATAAATGTCCTACTCAATCCTCTTCATCCGCACCTATAAACATGCCACTCTCGCTATAGGCCTCCAGATCCTCCTCCTCTTCATCCGCATCTATAAGCTCACCACTCTGGCTACGACTCGGAGCCTCTGCGTCATCCTGCTCCTCCAGCTGGTACTCTCGAATGGCGTCTTCAAAGGCCTTGTTCTCAGTGTGGACCCGGGATGTAGTACTAGCCGATGACAGACCGAGTGATTCAACACCTGCATGAAAACTTCGAAGCATGAATGTTAGAATACTAGAGTAATAGTAAGTCAAAACATACCGGCCTACATCATGCAGATTGGTACATATTCTCTCGAGAAGTTTGTAAGGTGCAGTGCGCTCATCAAAGCGCAGCAGTGAGCCCAAATGATTATTGTAGACAGCTCCATACGTAGCGGATGTGAACTTGATGTCTTCTTTGATGCCTGGCAGCCACTCGTCAATACAACATTCGATCTATGAATAAGACATTGTTAGCGCCCTCATAAGAACTTGAATACAAAATAAGCTCACCGCTGTAAGCACGAGTGCGAGAGCTCTAACAGGAAAGGGATTGAAGTACTTATGGTAGATGAGGCCCTCGTCGTTCCGATTTGAGAACCACATGAGGTTGATGCCCTCTTGGAGCAATTCGGTTTTGTAGACTCCCTTCTTTGACGACCAGTCCTATTATCCAATGTCAGCACACAGTAATATAGATTGTCATCTGCGTACCTTGAATATAAAGGCTGAATCGGCTTTCAACGACTCTGCCCGATCTCGGTTCTGTTGCATCACCTGCATGGAATTACTTGCCCGGAAACCATAAAAAGAACTAGTCAGCAGGCGCATCTTGGTTTTGAGTTCACCTCGCACATGTGATGTGCGATTTAAGAGCTTCATATCAATCAGACCCAGAGCGTGGTATGAACAGATTACTTACCATTTTGACTGCTAAAGGTGTTATTTTGACATCAATATCTTTAATTTTGCACGCCTCGTGCCAGGCCTCTTTGGCCAAATTTGTCTCGACGGTGACAGAATCAGGAAACGGGGCTCGTGTGACAATCAGACATCGAAAAATTGAGCAGGCCGTTGTGAGAATCTCTTTGGAGATGTTGTCAAAGTCGCTGGCTTTGACACGTTGACGCGAACCGTCCGAGTTTTTCTTGACCTTCGGGACTATCAGGACATCTTCTAAGGACATGTTGAATTGTCGCTTGGTCCCCCGAGCTATTGGCAATGGTTCACCAGTGTTGTCGTCATCGTTGTCGTCATCCAGGTCGGTTGACTCAGACCTGTCATCGTCATCAGCGTCCAAGGTAGGAGTGTCGTCTGGAGCATCATTGAGATGGGCATTGGTCGCATTCAAGTTGCTTCGTGGTGCTGGATAAAGTCAAACAGAGGGATATTAGGGTAGTCAGGCTAATATTGATAGAATAAACACATACCCTTTTTTCCTTTCGTGTTCCGGTCAGTATTAGTAGGCACTATGTGTGCGCTGGTGTTGCTGTGGCGCCATCTCGGGGGAATTTTGCCTGCGCTGAACTTCAGGGCACTAGTGTTTGACAACTTTGTCTTGATGCTGTGATCGGAGAACTGAATAAAGTATGGTCAGTGGCTCGTTTAAGTTAGGAAAGAAGAAAAAAGCTCAGACCATCATATCTTCTTGCCTGTCGATGTCGCTATGCAGCTCCGAAGGCTCTTGCTCAAAGTTGTCGGGACGGTCTTGATAGGCGGCCTTCAGTGCCTTTTTCTTCTGCTTTTCCGACTTCTGTTCCTTGACTTCTTGACGACGGGTAATATGTTGAGATTCAGAAACTATAGAGGATCATGAGCGAGTAAAATACAATATTTTAGTAGTACTTACAATGGTAGGATTCTTTTTCAGTTGGTCGACGCTCTCGACCGCTTGCGGTGCGCACACTCGGTGGTGCTGCAGGCATTGACGAGGTAGTGCGCGCATTCAGCGGTGCTGCAGGCATTGACGAGGTGGGCTTAAATTTTTGCTGCTTGGAGGCAGCCTTAGTATGAGGTGCCATGGTCACTAGAGCACAAGGTGTGATTAGCGTTAGCAAAATATATAAGACCATAAAACATACAAACAACTCACAATTGAACCTTGATTGTTCGTTGATTCCAGGGCTCATTTGGCTAAAAGCTGTGTGTTTAATGAAAGAAAGGATAAAAAGATTTGAGCGTACCGTCACAATATTTTTTCACTGTCATGGATACCCTCAACATTACAAAAAAACGGTACGAAGCTTGCTTCAAACACTCACCACACTCTGACGAATCCTCCAGCACAATGTCACCATCTGCCGGTCACAAAGACACTGCTCGTAAAGACGGGAAACTCGAGATCAAAAGGTCAGTTATCCCATTGCCCCTCCCAATTATCGCAATGTACTTACCAGTGGCCTGCAGGCCAAAGCTCGAAGAGCCTGACACAGGCCCCATGTTCCCACGCCCTCCATTTCGTCAGACTCCAGGCCCCATCTCGGTTTCCCAAATATACTTGCACAAGCTCATTTTGGAGCGCTGGGAGGCAGAAGTGAAGGCCTGCGAGAACGCCAAAAAATTGCAACTAATAGAATTAGTACCAGGCACTGGCACTCCTAGCCTCTTACAAGCGAGCTTGCGAAGACTCGTTAGTGAGCGCTGGGATGCAGAAGTGAAGCATTGTGAGGAGGCGAAGCGGGTGCAACTTTTAGAATTGCTTCTGGCCGCCCATGGTATTTTGAAACTAGTGTAGCGTGGCAACTAGAAGGTACAGTCATCTGGTAAAAATTTACGGCACATGTCAGAAATGCTATGGAGTTGTGCCAGGAAAATAAACTTGAACCTTGTGATGAGGAGAGCCTACCAATATTGGTGAAACAACGGAGCTAGTCTCCATAAGCGATTGCGTTCAGGTGGGTTCTTGGAAGAGCCGGGAGCTAGTCTCCATAACCGACTGTGTTCATGTGGTTTCTTGGGAGAGCTGGGAGCTAGTCTCCATAAGCGATTGCGTTCAGGTGGGTTCTTGGGAGAGCCGTCCACTGCACCCCATGGATCGTCCTTCCAATCAACAAAACCATTGGGATTGCGTTCAGGTGGGTTCTTGGGAGAGCCATCCACTGCACCCCATCGATCATCCTCCCAATCAACAAAACCAACATGGATAGCTAGTCTCTATAACTGACTGCGTTCTCAGTGTGCCTAGATTGAGTCCAGGCCAGGGCGCATGAAAATTATTTTAAGTAGGTACATTACAAATCAGAATCGAAACACTCACTCGAAACACTCACTCGAAACATTCACCAACCATGCCCCAGTGCTGCGTATTTTGTGGTAAGGAGTTCCCTACAAGGGGTGGTGTCAAGAGACACATAACTGGCCGCCCTGAATGTAGAAGGGCATGGGAGTTAACGATCGAAGAAACTGAGGCCACCTATGATGAAGATGGCCCACAAGTGGACTTTGCTTACGATGATGTTGGCAGCTCATTTGGCCTGCCGCTTCGTCGCTCACGTTCCAAGTCCTCCGATGCTGATCAAGGCAACCCACCAGCGCTGAAAAGTTGGAGGGTGACCATCGAGGAGGTTTCTGATGAAGATGCTGTGAGAACAAATAGTGGGCAATATTTCAAGGAATGCCCTGATGGTGGACGGACTCTGCGGGAGGGAGAAACTGGTTTTGAGAGCTATCGGAAGTATAAAAAAAGCATGGGTGAGGACGAGTGGGCACCTTTTTGCGATGAGTACGTACCCTGTTGTCTTCATCTCCTCTGCAAAATGATTGATTTCAGTCGCCAGGGAAGAATGGGGACTCGCAGAGTGGCTCGTTAAAAGTCTGGGCCAGACCCGAACCAATGATTTTCTAAAGTTGCCGATAGTAAGTTACACATTGACCGCTGAAAGAATTGGACTTACTGGTGTGACAGACACGAAACCGAATGCAACCATCCTTCCACAACAACCGATCGTTCCTCCAGAAGGTCGATGAACTTCCGCATGGAGCTGCCTGGAGCTGCAAGAAGATCAGTGTCCGGGGAAACCAAACAGACGAGAAGGGTGAACCATTGCATGAAGATGTCGAGCTTTGGATGCGTGATCCTGTGGAGTGCATCAAAGACCTGATCGGAAATCCTCAATTCAAGGATCACATGGTGTACGCACCTGCACAAGCATACACAGACTCTGCGGGACTCAACCGAGTGATTGGTGACATGTGGACTGCAGATTGGTGGGGGGAAAAGCAAGTGAGTATGCGATCCAAAAAGTTAAGCAAAGACTGACCTACAACGTCCAGAAACAGTTACCGAAAGGAGCGACCATAGCACCTATCATTCTTGCTTCAGACAAGACATGTTTGTCACAGTTCCGAGGTGACAAATCTGCGTGGCCTATATACCTCTCAATCGGCAACATTGCCAAAGAAAAAAGGCGACAACTGTCAGCACGAGCAACAGTCCTGATTGGGTACTTACCTGCAGAAAAACTCGAATGCTTTACATCAGATACACGCTCCCTTGCTGGTTACCGGCTCTTCCACCATTGTATGTCCCTCCTGCTGCAACCGCTCATTGCTGCAGGACAAAATGGCATTGAAATGGTATGCGCTGACTCGATGATCCGCCAAGTTTACCCGATCCTTGCAGCATATGTGGCGGATTTCCCTGAACAATGCCTGGTCGCATGTTGCAAGGAGAACCGTTGCCCAAAATGTCTGGTTGCGGCGGATGAAAGAGGTGATCCACTGAGTACACCGATGCGGGACCCTCCATTGATAAAAGAGATATTGAAGAAGCGACAAAATGGTCAACATCCAGCTGAATTTGAAGACTATGGATTACGCACCGTCTATCATCCTTTTTGGGCTGACCTTCCACACACAGACATCTTCCTTGCCTTCACACCCGACCTCCTACACCAACTCCACAAGGGCGTCTTCAAAGATCACTTGGTTAAATGGTGCCTTGATATCGTTGGTCAAGCTGAAATGGACGCACGCTTCAAAGCCATACCGGATTATCCCGGTCTTCGGCACTTCAAAAAAGGAATCTCGACGGTGAAACAATGGACGGGTACAGAACACAAGCAGATGCAGCGTGTTTTTGTAGGGTTGCTTGCTGGTGCAGTACCAAGGTATGCTTCAAACATGCTTAACAAGGCTCGCACTGACAGAATCGTTTTTTAATATTTACCAGTGGAGTGTTGGTGGTTGCACGCGCTATTCTAGATTTTTCTTATTACGCGCAGCTTCAAATACACACAGTTGACACCCTTGATCATCTGGAGAGCGCCCTTTCGGTATTTCACGCCAACAAAGAAATCCTGCGCGAACTCGAAGTTCGAGATCATTTCAATATTCCTAAATTGCACCAACTCTCGCACTACGTCCAGTCCATCTCATTGTTCGGTACTACTGACGGGTTCAACACCGAGCTTCCTGAACGACTGCATATCGACTTTGCTAAAGAAGCTTACCGCGCTAGCAATAAGCGTGATTATGAGGAACAAATGACTTTGTGGCTTCAACGCCAGGAAGCGGTGTTTTTACGCGGTTCCTATCTCGAATGGCTGTCGGATCAGTCGGTGAGCATGGCCAATCGCACAGACCACAAGTGCAGCGATGATTCAGGCTCGGATTCAGAGATAGAAGACTTGCAATCTGGGTCATGCACTCACAGCGCTACTCCCGCCAAAGCAAGTCTAATGCCTCCCATCGCTGGACAACACATTGTCCACATTCTTGCCAAAACTCCTGCACACCCTCGGCAGTCCGTTCACCAGCTTGCCACTGCGCATGGCGCAGTCACATTTCTTCCTGCCCTCAAAATTTTCCTAGACAAGCATATGCCGCACAATACCATCGTTCCCGGTCCACAAGACCGTTTCGACGTTTATCGACAAGTTATAATTGCTGCCCCGCCAGATCTGCATGTAAGTGATTCACCACAACGGTGGCGCATTAGAGCGACACCCGAAGTATCTCCTGGTCCTCGCCGGAAGCCTGGGTCCCCTGCCAAGTTTGATATGGTCTTGGTGAGCGATAGTGTTCAGACCTCGAATCTGCAGGTGTTAGATGGTAAGTGATCATTATTTCAGTGCATCGGAATATTTACATTAATGCTGTAGGTGTACGAGTTGCACAAGTCCGTGTGATATTCACTCTGCCTCGTCAGTTTGGGGCATACTCCCGAGCTTTGGCTTATGTCGAGTGGTTCACTCCGCTTAGGATACCAGATGCCTCCTCTGGCCTGCACCAGGTGTCACGTTCAACTCGTCGACTGCACCGGAATGCAGCGGTGATACATGTCGACGAAATCGCTCGTCCATGTCATCTCATTCCGAAGATGGGACAATTTGTTGACCGTGGATGGACCAGTACAAATGTCTACGAGTTGGTAAATGATTTCTACTTAAATACCTTTATCGACCTTGATACATTCTGCATGTCCGCTATCAATTAATTTTGTTACTACTCAGCTACTATCGACTACGAACTGAAATTTTGCTATTGCGACTCCAGTTTACTACCAGCGCACGCCGTAGCCTCCTGTAGCCCACTGTAGCTCTATATAGTCTGAGTTATAGCTACGTGAGGTACATAGACCTATGGTGACTATATAGTACTATATAGGCGTCACCAGGACTCCTACGATTTTTGTTTTTTCCTGATGTAAGACAGAGGGATGAGACGGCGTGGGTGTGACCCCAAAGAACAACGAGTTCCTGTCCATCAACAACCCGCCATTTTCGGATGGTTCTGTCATTTGATGCGGAGAAGATGTGTGCACCGTCCTTGGACCAACACAATGACATCACCCCATCATCATCATGTCCCTTGATCTCGATAAGCAGCTTGCCGTCCCTTGACCACATGCGGATCACCATGTCTGCACCGCCGCTCATGAATTTGTCGCCTTTCGGGGAGTATTTGACAGCCATAACCCATTTGTGATTGGTCTCTATGGGTGGTGCTATTTGTCGACCAGTATTTGGGTTCCAGCGTCGTATGGTGCCATCTTCAGATCCACTTGCTATTTCCAGGGGATTGCGAGACCAATCGAGGCACCTCACTGCAGCATTATGCCCCTCCCACGGGTCCCCGATCATGCTGCCCTCCTTTATATTCCAAAGCCGCAGTCTGCCGTCTATACTTCCACAAACAACCATTGTTTCATCTGGGGATACTACCATCGAACCTATCTCTCCCCCATCGCTATACAAAGGTTTACCCACTGCCTCTCCGTCTCTTTTCCACTGACGAATAGAACTATCCTCAGATGCGCTTATTATATTGCCACTGGTATCCAAGTAGGCAAGGCTCCATATGCATTTGGAGTGACCCTCGATGACGCACTCCGGCTTCAAGCTTCCCGCTGGACGTTCTGGCTTTGGTTTCTTCCATGACGTGGTCCGAGTGTTGTGGTTGACAAAGTAGGACCGACCGAGTGGTGAGATGTGCCATTCCCACCCAGGAACAACGAGGTAACCAGGAACATCTATGTTCAATGGTGAGTTCGTCGTTCCTTGTTGCAATTTCATCCCTCACCTAGTCTCACTCCTGGTAAAGGTCGGTTCAACGAGACTATCACGAGTGTGTTATCTTGATATAGTGTTCTACCATCCGACGACGTCTTAAACTGTTGCCACATAGGAGGAAGCGCTTCATTCCCGCCTGCTTCCAATTTAGTATTCTGGTAGGTATCACAAGGTAGCTGCTCACCTTCCCAAAGTGCGTCCTGGCGGTGCTGTGCACCATATGGTGGTGGATCTTTCGCGCTCGTCCGATATATCGACGAGTGCAATGGCGCTTCACCTCGTCTCGTCGACTCGCTTGACTCGGCTTCTTCGTGTTGCATGACGAGGACATCACGTTGTACAGACAAGACAGGACAGTGAAATACTGCTCAAAGTCCGTAAACGAGTGGAAGGAGAGATACAGGGCGAAAGTGTCAACGAGACCTGCTATTTGGGTCAGTTGTACATGCTGTAGTTGCAGGCGCCTTGCTGACACCGCATGTCAATGGCTGTGTTACCACCGGATCAAGTACTTACCGTGGTCCGGTTCAAATTTTGAGGCAGTACATTGGTCTGTTATGTACGTCTCGTCAGCGAGTGGAATAACATGATGTTTGTTGGAGCAGGTGCATACACATGTCGAATCTGTAGTATGTACGCTGTGCATAGCAGCACTCCCAAGCAAAGTACCACCAGTAGTGACAAGTAATTGCCTGATTGCATGACCGACAGGGATGTATCTTGGTTGCGCAATATTACTGTAATAACCACCTCTGGGCGTTGATAGTGCCAAAACCCAAATTTTCTCGTCTTAGGAAGCAGAGTTCGACATCAAAGTCGATCGAGTCATGTTCAGAACTTCATATTAACTTCACCAGATTTCCTACAAATTGCAGTCAATCGTGACCTTGATTCATCGACCGGAAGAACCCTATATAGGCTACGTGGCATCAACCTGAACGGTCTCACCTGTCTGCGTGACCTGCTGCACTTCACCCATAGCCGAACCGTTATCGTACTGTTGTACACTAGTAACAACATCCAGAACGCTCGCTAGGCCCGCCTTCCACGTAACAAGACGCCTCACATTGCTCTCGCTCAAACGTGCGCGCTGACGAACGGTGAACGTGTAGAGATTGAGTAGTCTGCGAGAGCTTTCCCGAAAGAAAATTCAAAACATTTCGAAGAAAAATCCAGTCAGCACACATCGACATCTGTATATGAAGCGAGTAGTGGTCAACTTTTGTCTCCACAATTGATCACCACCCTGAATAGAATCAGATTAACCCACCAGGCTACGGGAACGAACTATAGAGCTTCCGCCCCGGCGCAAGCTGAGGAACCACCTCCAACGTGTAAACCTTCAAAGCTAGACAACTCCATAGCACAAGTTTGAATAATACGAGATTCGAATTTCGTCTTCTTGCACGACAACGTCCACAATATGAGCAGTTTGTTAGACGACACGATGTGCAAGTGGGACGGGAACAATGGACTTATTGTGCGGGAATCGTTGGAAGGCGATGCAGATTCATCTGCACAAATGATCAACGTGAATAACATTTGACTAACAAATGAAGAGGTCGAACCTGCAGATGCATGATCATCTAGCCGTGGAGGACCAGGCCGTTGCTGAACTAATGACCAACGCATCAGATCAACGTTACTCCGATTGCATCACCGCCTGAAGCGTGACAATTCCTTCTTTCTTCAAATTTCAACTCTCCCAACCTAACCTCTGTAATTCTGCATCAACATGGCCCCAGAGCGCTCAAAATCGTGTGATATATGCAATCAAGACATTAAACCAAGAGGCTGGACCACACATCGAAAAGCCTGCGAGATACGTGCAAATAAGAGACGCCGGGAATCTCATCATCATTGCAACCGTGCTTGAAACCGACATTTAAATGATGATGCAATGCACAATTACGACTCTATCATGGCAACCTATTTAAAGACACGTTTTGCATTTGGGCCTTGAAACGTGTTGTAACTTGTAAGGCGTTGAAATCTAAATTAAGAATTTCCGACCTATCGATAAAAGTCCGTGTGTAGGGTTAGTCTTGAGAAGTTTGGGTAGCGCGGAATATCACGTTGGTTGCATTTTCTAGGGAGCCATTTGAATGAAATCTTCTGGGTATTTGAGTATGTGAGCCCCTTGTTGCATTTGCTGGAATGTCATTCTCTTTGCTGTTTCTTGCCGAGGAGCTGTTGGCAAACAAACAAGTCACACTTCTGACTCCGATGTATCTCCGAATCACCAATACACAATTGTTGATCGGTCACGGTGAAGTAGGCATTTCTGCTTCGATCTGCACCAAAGTAAAGGTCTTTTCTATAACCACATGATATATATAATATTCGTTCATCCAAAGAGGTTGATTACCTCGAAATGGTGCTTTTTAGGTCCCTCTGAGGTCTTCGCGTTTCAAACTTCGAGCTTAAGGAACGCATCCGGCGAATTTTTAAATCAATTCTTGTGTGTCATCAAACCTATGCAAGTTATATTAGGTGCGTTCTGCGTTTATAAATTGACCAAACACCTGATGTGCAACTGTATCTTTTATCAAATCACTCCCCGGCCGGTACCTCGAGTGGAACACATTTTTTGACCTCTACATGGAGTATTCGACTGAAGATATCGCAGCAGCAAGGAGCTCGCAGTTTACTACGGTGTGTCTCCTTGTCGATATGAGGGCGAAACATAACTGACAAGTCATGTACCATCAGTACATATTCAGTACGTACTTTCTTAAACCCGTATTCTTTGTCCTGACACAGTCCAGTGTCAATGGCTACAATATGGGTAGGCTTATTCTCATCTATCCATGTCCGCTGTTAAACTCCCTTATCCAGACCTATGATTATGCATGTTCGTTTCATGAGGAGGTAATACACCCGTTCCATGATATACTTCGGTTTTGATACTCACAATATGCTGTGCGGAGTGGACATTTTTGCTTCAATCACACTGGAGCAAGATGAAAGGCTTGTATATTGTCACACGACACATGCCCTTGATCATTCTCGCCATGGACCTATATAGTGCGTTCCACTCTAGCACACATCGCCCCGATGATCAATTAACACTTGTTTTTCAGTGAGCTTTACCCCGAATGAGAACCCAGGTGTATGTGCTGCAGTGCGTAGTTAACGAGAGCGAACCACTTATTGCGTGACTTCGCCAGAAATGCCGGGTGTTGCAAAATATCAATCCAGGTCCGTGCATGGTACATTCATCTATGCACATCATTGCTGAAGGCTACTGCTTCCCTCTGACAGGTCTTGGCTTTGTAATAGTAATGTTCTCCGAATGTATATCTCGTTCACCTGTATTATGTGTATCTCTGATGTGATTCACCTAGGTTTTTTTATCCTCAGAACATATGTGCTCTGGAACAAAAATAGAATTTTGCTCGTAGCCATGCTGTCGACCTTATTGGTGAGCTCCTAATCTATTTACCATGTCCGAGCTCGTGGCAGATGCATCAGCCAGTCTTTTCTCGTAGCAATCTACAGCATTATCTTCGCCATCGGCATCCCCGCAGCATGTACTCGTTTTTACCTTCTCTCTGGCGTTCCACGACCACTAAAACATTGTGTTCACTTTCACAGATGCGACTAGCCCGATCCCGGGAATCCCGGGGTGCTACCAGAGTTCGACTAGTTTCTGGTACTTCATACCATTCCTTCTCCTTTCCGTGTTCGAATTGGGTGGGTAACCAGGAGCATCTATATGTACACACGCGCTGACAGGTATTCTCCCCAGGACTCATGATACTCACGCTCATACGCGCCATACAGGACTGGCGGACAAACACAAGCCGTCTATACGTTATCCTGGTGAACCACAACATATCCTATTATGCATGTGGTCTTCGTGAGTTAACACTCTTACATGCCATTTTTCCGTACTCATCCATGATCATTCTCTTTCCTGAAGTGTTCTCAGTAGCGAACATATTCACGTCGCTGCTCCTCGAGGTGCGTGAATCCATCAAATACCCTTTTTGACTGCGCATTGATGTTCTGTCCCAGTACTCTTACCACAGCGTGTTATACGAGTACGCAAATACACATCCTACTACGTGTTCCTACTAACAATACCCGACACGTACACACATAGTTTTCAGTTCATGATCCTTGCAATCCTCGCCACACGCATGCACCTCCATCTCTGGCGGACGAACCGATATCCACACGGCTTTACTAGCAGCCTCGTGGACATTCCAATGTCTGACATCTCATTTGCAAATCCCATGCTGTGATGTCTTATTCTGTGTCTTATTCTGTGCCGTTCATGGAGCGAGGCTTGGACTGTACCAGATGATTGGTGGGGGTGGGCTTGGTAGAGTTTGTCACGTGCTTCAGTTATAAGATGAGTCTGTCGCGGGATGGTAAGAGCATTTGGCTATTTAACACCTATATTTTTCACTGTAAGCAGCGGCGGGGAGATCCAGAATTTGAGCGTGCTAGAGCCACGTTCAAGGATAATTTAATTCTGCTCTTGCTGCACATGATCCAAGGCATTCGGCCTGATCACACACAGCCATGGATGGTTGCTCATATGGAGAAGGAGGGGTTTATGTCAAAGTTAAGGCAGGGTGCCGCTGTGGCATTACGGCCTGACCGAACAAGGAACGGGAGCACACTCACGTCAACGTTCTCACTTACGTTTATTTATGCAGGATTATTCCGAAGAACAATCGCGTTAGTCAACGTCCATATATACATGCCTCTGGCAAGTATACACGCCGCAGCTTGGGCTTTGCACCCCGACCGGGACCCGGAACTCTCAGCAGGAGTCAGCACCTCAGCAACGTGTCCAACAACGGGGACCAGGCGACTCATGCAAGGCTGCTCATTCTGTAAGTACAAGTGTATACGAGCTACAAGACAATAATACAACTCGGTGAGAACACACGCTGAGTGAAAACATACAAGTGAACCGCTGCTAATGCCATGTTTTTAAAAAAAAAAAATTGTTTAGACTCATTGCGGAGGCTATGCATCCGAGTCCGAGACTGGCCATCAGCGTACGTATATACGTACTTTCGTATTACCAACAGTTGAAACGTTCCATCACGACCACGGCACCTTGATGGGTTCACAGCTCATTAAGAAGAATTAGTACAAAGGCGCATGATGTGTGTACGAAACTCATTTTTTTCACCTCTAGATGGAGTATTCGACCAACGATATCGCAGCAGCGAGGAGCTTGCAGTTCACTAAGGTGTGTCTCCTTATCGACATAAGGATGAATCATAATTGAAAAGTCATGTACTATCAGTACATGTACAGTGCGTACTGTCTGAACCCCATATTATTTGTACTAACACAGTTCAACGTCAATGGCTACATTCTTGGTAGGCTCATTTTAATTCATTTACTTCCGCTGTCAAACCCGCTTATCCACCTGCAGATCTATGATTGTGCATGTTTACTTGACGAAGAGGTAATACACTTGTTCTATGATAAACCCCAGTTTTGATTGTTGTACAAAGTGGACATTTTTGCTTCGATCGCATTGGACCAAGATGAAAGGCCTCTATGTTGTTACACGATTCCTCTCCTTGATCATTTGCGCCATGGATCTATATAGTGCGTTCCGTTCCAGTAAATATCACCCCGATGATGAATTAACACTTTTCAGTGGGCCTTACCCGATCGAATGACAGCGTAGAAGTATGTGGTGCGGTTCAACTAATGAGAACACACAACTTATTGCATGACTTCGTTAGGCATTCCGGATTGCGGCCAGTGTTGAATCAAGTACGTGCATGGCACACCCATGTATGTACGTCCTTGCCGAAGGCTACTATTTTTCTGTCACAGGTCTTGACCTAGTATTAGTCGTTTCCTCCGAATGTATCTCATATCCCCGTACTATATGTGTGTGTTTCTTGATCGGATTCATCTAGGTTTTTTCATTCTCAGAACATATGTGCTCTGGAACAAGAATAGAATCTTGCTTGCAGCCATGCTGTGTTTCTCTTTTGTGAGTTCTCAATCTACTCACCATACCCAAGCTAGTGGTAAACGCATCAACCAGACTTTTCTTGCAACATTCTTCATCATTTCCTTCGCCATTCTCCTCCCCACAGAATGTACTCGCTCTCACTTTCCCTCTGTCTGGCGTTCCACAACCACTAAAACATTCCGTTCACTTTCACAGGTGCGACTAGCCCGATCCCGGGAATCACAGGGTACTAGTACCAGACTTCGACCAGTTACCAACCCCTAATATTATACCTTCTCCTTTCTGTATTCGAACTGGGTGGGTAACCAGGAGCATGTGTATGTACAAACACGCGCTAACATTATTCTCCCCAGGATTCCTGATACTTACACTCATACGTGCCATACAGGACTGGCGGACAAACACAAGCCGTCTGTACGTTGTCCTGGTGAATCATAATGTATCCTATTATGCATGCGGTCTTTGTAAGTGAACACTCGTATGAGCCGTTTTTCCGTACTCATCCATGATCATTCTCTTTCCTGTAGTGTTCTCGTTAACGAAAATATTCACATCGCTGATCCTCCATGTGCGTGAATCTATTAAATGCCCTTTATGATCGAGCCATTGATGTTCTGCGCCCCAGTACTTTGACTACAACGGGTCCTATGAGTATGCACCTCCGCATCTTGCTGGGTATTCCTACTGATAATCCCCGAAATGTACACCTATGTATAGGTTCCAGGTCGTGATTCTTGCAATCTTAGCCACGCACATGCACCTCCATCTCTGGCAGGTGAATCAACATCTACACGACTCTACTGGCGCCCTCGTTTCGATATCCGACATCTCATTTGTAAATCCCACAGCGTGATGTCGTATCCTGTGGTTTATTTGGTGTTGTTCATGGAGCCAGGCTTGGACCATACAAGATGATTGGTGGGGTGGGCTTGATAGAGTTTTGTTACGTGCTTAATTTATAGGATGAGTCTGTGGTGTGCAGCGTTGGACGGGTACACGATGGTTCTTAGTCTTTCAATCAGGTGCAGAGACCGAAAGTTAAAGGTGTATCTGACCTGTCAATGAAATGTTGGTTCAACCGTGACTGGGAGATTAGGCCTTTAGGCTTACTTGGCTGTGTTCGTTATTTGGTCTCAAAACTGTTGCCAAACAAACGAGGGCATCTAGGAATTCGAATTTCCGGGTCCGTCCGGCCGAGTCCGGCTGGGTCTGTCCGGCTCCCAAGTATGATATTTTGTATGCAATAGAGTATGACACTAGTACATTAACGAAACTACAGAAACGTCACAGCTGCAGCCCTCACAGATCTGGTCCAGACTATTTCAGAGATACCTGCATGTGTCATGAGTGAAAATATAGAATCTGCAAGGTCTATGGTTGAGTCCATTGGCAGGCAGGCACAGAAATTAACACCTGAAAGCTGGTTGAGCCAAATGATTGGTAGGCAAGCTGCTAGTAGAAAGCCGGCCAGCCCAGTGCACGAGAACTTGAAGGACAGGCAAAAAGCCCATCTGAAAGGCCAAACCATATCTGCAGCTACACAAAGCTGTAATCGTCAGGCCAGGCCAGGCTGAAAGATCGCTGATTTGATGTATTCGAGACGGTAACAAGTCGTAAAATTGAGCTCATTGTATGACGCGACGTTAAGAACTGACAAGTTGTGCACAGGCGGATCCGGACAGACCCGCACGCAGCCGGACGGAGACTGCCGGAAATTCGGATTCCCAGACTTTCTGAAACAAACGGGCATCGATCACTTCAACGTTCCTGTGACACCTCTGAGTCATCTATCAAAGGAAACTCGCGACTTCAATGTTTCCGTATTTGATAGTACAACGCTCCAGAATTTGCGGATTTATAGGTCCTAACCTTCGCATATGAATGAACTCGTGACCCAGTACGTACTGTCTGCACTGCATCTTGCTTATAACTTGACAGCTCAGCGTCAATCATGGTTGGTTACGGTCAAACGTTGAGCGTAACGATCACCTTCCACGAAAAAAAACTAATGAGGGCCGAGTACTTGGAAGAGTTTCATTGATCTCGAGCTTTGAAAGCCAGGTCCCTCCAACTTGAACGTGGCTATTTCAGAAGCAGGGACAAGTACAAGAAGCACACGCGACTTTCCGGATTGAACTGTCCATTACCTAACTGTATAGGTATATAAGTTCTTAGAGTTCAGTCTAGAAGGGGGCGGTAAACCCGTTCACGACCACCTCTTGAACGACCCGGCGGGATGGAGACGGACTATTCGGCTGACGATATCGCAGCAGCGACGAGTTTGCAGTTCTTCCAGGTGCGTTTCTTTTTTGTCGATACGAGGCGGGTAATATTAAGCAATCTATGTGTGCATCAGTACATATACAGTGCGTCCTGTCTGAACTCGATCTTTATCGTCTTAATGCAGCCCAGTTTCGATAACTACATTCTGGGTGAGGTTGTCCCGATGAGTTCTCCTCTACTGTTAAACTTGCTTATTCAGACCTACAATTATGCTTGTTCACTTCATGAAGAGGTAACGTGCTTGTTCCGTGATACGCCCCAGATCTGATGTTGATTGTATTCAAAGTGGAGATTCTTGCTTGTGTCGCACTGGACCAAGGCAAAAGGCCTCTATATCGCTACACGATATGTCCCCTTTCTGCTTCTCGCCACAAATCTATATTGTACGTCTAGCTTTGTCGTACATCGCCTGATAATGAACCAACACGTTGTCACGCAGTGAGTTTTATCCCAAATGAAACCCCAGGTGTACGTGAACACGCTGTGGAGACTCAATGAGAGATGAATCTCACTTACCGCATCACTTCGCCAGAAATGCCGGGTGTTGGACAATATCTGCTCAGGTACGTGCATGGTACATCTATCTATGCACAGCTTTGCTGAGTGCAGCCCACTTCCTCTCACAGGGCTCGATATACTATTAGGCGTTTGCTCCGAATGTATCTAACCTTCATCCCTAAGATATGCACGTCCCTGATCTGATCCATCCAGGCTTTTTCATCTTAAGAACATGTGCGCTTTGGAACAACAATAGAATATTGCTTGCAGCCATTCTTGTTACCGCTTTCGTGAGTCCAACATTCACTAGCCACATCCAAATTAGTTGCTGATGCATCAGCCAGACTTTTCTCGGAGCCTCCATCGGTATTACCTTCGCCACTACTGCTCCCGCAACATGTATGCGTTCTCCTTTCTTCCCTGGCGTTCCACTACCATTCAACAATTCTGTCCACTCCTGCAGATGCAATTAGTGCTATCCCCGGTATCACGGGGTGCTACCAGAGCTCGAGTAGTCTCCAGCTCTTCATACCATTTCTTCTCCTGTGCGCATTCGAACTGGGTGAGTGACCAGGAGCAAGTACACGGACACGCTGACAGATACTTTCCAGGACTTATGACCCTCACACTCATACGTGCCATACAGAGTTGGCGACAAAACCCAAGCCGTCTGTACATTGTCCTGCTGAATCATAACATATTTTATTATACGTGTGGTCTTTGTGAGTTGACACTTCCACCCCCCCCCCCCGTTTTTCCTGCTCATCCATGGTCATTCTATTTCCTGAAGTGTTCTCAGTGGCAAATATATTCACATCGCTGCTCCTCCATGTGCGTATATCTCCTAAATGCATTTAATGTTTGAGTCGTTGATGTTTCGCACACCCAGTACTCCTACCACGCCATATTGCACGAGTATGCACCCCCACAACCTTCTGCGCAATTCTGCTAACAATGCCTGAAACGCATATTCGCTTACAGTTTTCAGTTCATCATCCTTGCGATCCTCGCCACGCGTATGCACCGCCATCTTTGGCAGATGAAGCGACAATCACACGGGTCTGATGCACTCATGCAAATTCCTATGTCTGACATGTCACCTCCGGAGTGTACGACGTGACACCTTACTGCTAGCTTACTCGGTGTCGTTCGTTCAGCGAAGTGTGTATTGTACGGGGTTTAGTAGAGTTTCGCTAGACGCTTGGCCTATCCTATAGGACTACCTACTTGGGGCGGGAGATACCTTTAGTTCTATTCAACATCTTGGGTGTCAAGTTTTCAGTGTGAGCAGCGGTAGGCGGATTGATGAAACAGGACTGAACATGTTAGAGCCAGAAGTACGGCCTGACAGCAATGAATATCATACTGCTGGGCTCACAAAAACATTCTAAACACTATAATTTAACGTTCATTTACAATTACAGCAGAGATGATATGGTGAAAAGGTACGAAATGGGTCTGCAATGGAACTTGAGGTGCAGCGCAACTCAGAGCAAGTGGTAACAAAAATAACAATCCAACGTTGTATACTAGTAACACCCTAAGCCTGAAGAACGTACAAAGCGAGCAAAGTATATGAAAATAAGTCAAGTAACACCCCCACTGACGGACAGCCCGAGGGCGCAGCTGCACAAGTAGCCAAGTTAAGATATGGTGATCAACGTAGAAAGTCGGAAAGTATCATACCGAGGGGAATAAACATCCATCAATAAGAGGACATCTCTGCCATGATATCTTTCAGCTTGTACCTTTTCAAGGCAACATGGAATTTGACATATCCTTCGAAAAAACTGATGTAGGCATCACGGGCCTCTGAACCAGGTCTGAGGCATTCAAGGATATTGTGATGCGCTTGTACAGTTTTCTCGATCAGTTCGCACAGAGCATCCTGTTTGGTGGAGGTACGAGAGGCTGCCATGAGCGACAAGTAGTTTGCGTTGTCACCTTCCATCTCTTCCTTGTAGTAAGATAGTATATCACTGAATGACGGCAGGTTAGGAAGCCTGACAGGAAGTGATCGATGTACTTACTTTGTGTGGTTCACGACAGTCCTTAGATCCGGCATGCATTGAATGTAATCTGGGGTTGGGAGCATGGAAGGGAAGATAAATAAGACATATCCATCCACCAAGCCTCCTAGAAGCCTGGAATACTCTGGGTACAAGGGAGTTTTGGGCGAGATCTACAATACAGGTCAAAATATAATCAATTCGTGATTCAGATATAAACCATACCTGCATGTCTTGAGTCTCAAAATCAAGGCAGTTTGCACACATAAAGTTGAGCGTGGACACGGTGATAAGACTCGATACCAGCGGGGAATGAAGACTAGCGATCTCACGCAAGATCACATCGAGTGCGTTCAGGATTGGATCACCCTGTGGTTGGCAGCTCACAAACCGCTCGTTGAAATGGTAGACATCCATCATGTCTTCGCCCCTGACCACCTTGTCATCGATGCGGGTGGCGATAGCAGTGAACAGGCACATCCACATCCTGGCTGCATCAGGAAGGTGGGTGTAAGCGTTGGACGCCATGGCCACACCAACGTCCATGTATTCGCGGATGGAATATTCCCCGTCCATCGGAAAGCCACGGTTGATTGCCTCCTGGTAGCATTCAGAGTGATATGCTTCGTCGATTGTGACGTCCATGTATTTCAAACCGCAACGCCGAAGAAAATCAGCGATGGACTGGCGGATGCTTGCTAGGACCTATATTCAAGAGAACATTCAGGGCGTGACAACGTGGTAGAGGGGATATACGGACACCACCATCGAAAGTGGATATGGAGTGTGTGTTAGTTGACATTGCGAGAAGCTGGCAAACAGGAGATTTAGTGAGAGAATGATTGGAATGTGTTTCATGCACTCCATACTTATATCCCATTAGCCGAGCATGATCAAGATGATCGTGTCGGTTATAATGTTTGACTATTCGTCCCGGTGACATTAGTGTTGCCGTCGAGGCGAGTTAAACTCGATGTGGTTGAACTCGATTCGGTTCGGAAATAACCAAATTCGTTCCAACTCGTCGGGTTCGAGATTTACAATAGATTTGATACATCGTAATCCCCTGTGAATGGCCCCAGGCCATACTATGGATGATGCGATTTTTGGGTGCAGATGACTTCGTTTCGTATGTCCATTAGAGTCGGCAAGACACAGACCTGACTGGAACTATCTGGCATACCCTCAGTATCACAGTATGTGCTTACCAACTCGACAGCAATAGCCTCTCGGTTCTTAGTATCTGCTGGATTTGGCCGCACGAACAGCCTCAATGTAACTATGCGGCACTCATCTTTTGTTACTAATAGCGCTATCCCTCCGACTCCAACCATCATTGTCTCTGAACCAGTGGTACGGTCCCCAACACTGGAATCCACAGAGGAACGCTTGCGCAAGGAACTCGAACTGGACAAGAAAGATGCCGAGTATGAGTTTTCTCGTTATGAAGAGGCAGGTATACTACTTGAAGCAGCTGAACGCACAACCGATGTCATTCGTTTATGGGAGGTATGTGATATACATCTATCTGCGATTTCATAAGATTAACAAGTATCATATTAGCAAAAAGAACATACTATATTTCCACTTTTATTCCATGTCGCTATGGATGTCCTGCCTGCTCAAGCGCTCAAGCTTCATCAGTGACTTCCGAGCGCATATTTATAGGCCTCATTCACAGCCTTGGAAGCAGAATACGAGCCAAGTCAGCGAAATGACTACAAAATTTTGTAACTCCACCGATATGTCTGCATTGGACGACAAGATCTGTTCGAGCCTATACCGTTGAGATAAACTGATAAGAGTGGCTTGGTTCAGCTAGTCAAATATAAATCATACCATACCTTATAGAGATGAACTTTGGAAGGTCTCATAGACGGCATAGTTCACCTAAATACTGCAAAAACTTCTCTGATGCTGTACCCGAAGTCCATAAGGTGCCGGAGTCGGAAGAACGCTGCAGAATTGAGAAGGATGTAGTGGCTGAGAAAATATGAACTTACGTATTGCCAGTCCGAAACTACATCGAGAAACATAAACTCACATATTGCAAGTCCGCGAATGTCAATGACAACGAGCATGCGAGCTCGATGAGTTGGTCTAGTTGTGAAACTGCGGTGAGTGTGAAATCGATAACTTCGCTCTTACGATAGACAGCTGATGACGAGACGCATGATGTCCAACATAGGGTCTATGACCCCAAAGGACCACACTCTGAAGCAAAAAAAATTCGCTCTGATCATCTTTAACTGAAAATATGTCTACTGTGGTCAAAATTATCAAGATAGTAGAGTACACATCCAGATAACGGGATAGACGGAAGAGACTTAAGAGCAGGTGATGCTTATTACGCCACCAGCCTGGGTATATCAGTGGAGCGCCCGAGGTGAGGTTCTCGGGCGTCACAAGCAAAAGTATTGAATTACCTATGACCGACCTCTATGATCATAAGATATGATGCTACATCCAGAGGGTGCTGCGGTTCCTCTCTTACACACCATGTCCATTCAGGATAGACCGGTCAAGAATGCGTACCTTACTGTGCAACGCTGACGCAGGCGCTACTAAAGCATGTCAAGGTTTACTAACTTTGCTTCATTAACAACGTTATTAACAATAAAACCGGATGAACGGGAGATACTCGATGTCGCTGTTCACGTGTGTCGCCTTCTATTTGATGTGAAACTTCATTTTAAAATGGTAGCGTCTCGTAGTCGGGCCATATAGAAGGAATACAGCTTATCGTTCTCGATTTCAATGGAAAGCCAAGTCTGGCACTTGAAAAGATCCCAGCATGGTCTCGTATCATATTTCTTAGCGTGATTGTCAGCATACATTTATTTTTAGAGAAGATATGGTCGGCGCTGGAGGTCTCAATGTTACACCGCCCACCTTATCGTCCGAAAAAAACAAGATTCAATGTGTCATTTCGTAGATGAAAAGCCTGTATAGAATTATTCTATCACAAGAGGTTTCTGTGTACCTGCGTGTCGAACGGATCGCAATTTAGAATGAAGGCTCGCTCCGGTTATGTGACCTAGCAAACGGTACACACCGCACAGATAGCACATGGCTGACAAGATGAGGATGACAAGGCAGAAATATGGAGCATAAAATTGGCAAGACTGTTCCAAGCGGAAGGGATAGTGAGGTCATGTGGCGAGATGGGGAAGGTCATCGGACAGGACACAAGTACTAAGTATGTGTAGTCAGTGTGAGTGGATCTGACCGGCGAAACAGTCCACCGGACAGGAGTCATTCGGTGGCAGTGATCTACTCGCTAGAATATCAACAACAAAAGTGCTTCTTCGGTGCTTTGAAGACCCGGTTCCTGCCCTCCTGATGAAAATGGCGTGCCCCACGAGGCACACCTTTTCTGGCGGGAGCCCGTTTTTCCCTGTAGGACAGCGTGTCTCATGAAAAATGTGTCCCAGTGGGCACTGGGCACAATGCACATCTCTAGTTGTTTTCAGGATCGATGATGGCACACATTTCTCGCTCGTCCAACCGCACGTCGCCGACCACGACGAGCTCGTGCTATCTGAGGTCAGCGCAAAGACTACGTGCCCCGAAGCTTGAAAAATAAACCGTAAGCTCCCAGGTGTGAGCGTCCCTAATAGTAACCAAATCGGACTTGTGCTAACGTGGTTTACATAATTTATGTAAACCCGTGACCTCGGTCTAACCGTTAGCAACTCAGCGTCAAGAGAGTGACTCCGCCAGCATTATTTGCGCATAGTGTGGTGAGAATAACAAATTGGGGTTGTAAATTGGCACTACAAGGTCGTGGTGATGATAGTGTTCGCTCGTAATGCCACCAGACAGATGCGCAGCTGGTATGGTCACACGTGGTCTCAGATCTGGGCCGGCGTAAGTTCTTCCTGAATCCACAGTTCACCTACACGTTCACCTCCGGAGTCTCAAAATGAGTTTGGAATCCTCCGGTATACTCCAGGACCATAAACATGCAGGGATTTTTGTGTCGACTAAAGGTGTTGACACTGGTGCTCAGCTCGTCGCTGGTTTGACCTCCACTCTTGATCCCGATGAGGCTTTGAGAATAAGGTGTGTTGCTAAGACTGTGTGCACATCAACGATTCAACATCGTACGATTTTGTTCCAGGAGGAAGATCGATGGACATATCATGCCTTTGACGTGTGGTGAGTCAACTATTGTTTGAATCAATGATGATCGCGTCTGATAATCGCGGTCCAGTTCTCTACTGGTATGTTGACTCGAATCAGCGCTCACTCGCGCACAGCGTCCAATTCATGGACAAGACAACCTTAGGTTCTGCGGCCATCCTTGGAATTCAGTAATGGTCGTGTATCAAGACTAGCCAATCCGGCACTGACTCTGTGTTATCAAGAAGGCCATGCATCTGACCACGAATGAGTAAGCTGTTCTTATCTTGGAGTTGACGCTTGAGCCTGATGCTGAACTATCTTCAGGTACAATTGGTGAGAAGATATACACCACTCGATCTTCCATGGGCCTCATGTACCTTCCAGGCTTGGCACAATGTTCTATCTCAGTTATCCCGTCTTCGAGTATCCCCAGAATCTTGCCCTTCAAAGATTCCCTGTCAGGAAAGGATGAGGTAGGCTTCAAACACATATCAATATGAACTTCGATGACAGCATGCATCAGTATCAATATCTTCGTCTGGGCAGTTGCACTTGCATGTCATGCAGCATGCAAAAACTTTGCTGGGCTTCTTGTTGTGCGCCTGTTGCTAGTAGGTGTATGTAAGGGGTCGATCACTGCCGGATTCTTGATTGTACTACACTCGGACGGAACAGACCCTACGTTATTGGTGTAAGTTCTCATACACACATGATTGCCAAACCAACTAATTAAGCGCGCACGCGGAACCTAGTTCTGATGAATGGCACTGGTGCGCATACAAAATGCGATGCTTGATGTTGCCGCCTAAGCTAGCAAACTCTAGCACAAATCATTTCTGGTTTCATCAGCTGTGGTACTTTGCATATCAATACCAAAGGCTTTCAACCGTGGCAATGGTCGGGCATTCCCTTTTATTACACCATGCTCTTTCTGATAGATCGCAGGTTCATGATCATCACTGTATTAATTACGTTGATTCTTGCTGTTTCATTCTGGTGAGTATAGAGGTTTTTAGTTTTCCCTTCAATTAAGACACCACCGGATGAAGGTTCTTGTTTCCTGACTCGCCTACTAATGCCTGGTTCCTAACTCTTGACGAGCGGGCGAAAGCTGTGCAGCGCATTAAGGTACGCGTGTTAAACGAATTCGTATTATTCCTTGTTTTACATTTAGCGCAGGAAAACCAAACGGGGGCGGAAAACAAACACTTCAAGATGGAGCAGTACGTATCCTATGCAATTGTGATCTTTCATTCCTCACATAAACATCGCTAGGATGATTGAAGCCTTGACCGACCCCAAGACATGGCTCTTCGCCCTCTTCTCGGCTTTGGACTATGTGCCTAACTCATTGACAAACCAGCAGGCGCTCATCCTCGCTTCGTTCGGATTTAGCGCTCTACAGACGACTCTATTGTCTTGTGTTCCTGGTATCGTTGAAATCTTGACAATCTTTACTGGTGTTCGGCTCGCTGCACGACGGCCCAATTCCAGAGCATATGTTGGTGCTATTTACCAGCGTGGTTGGGCATCTTGCTAGTCAACTTACTTCCTTGGTCGAATCGGGTATGTGGCTTACTTCCGCGATCTACCTAGTTGCCTTCAATATCGCTCATCACACGATATTAGACCGGACTTCTGATCGGTCAGTACCTGAGTGCGTTTGATGCCTGGTGTGAGTGTGTATACTCATTGCTTCATAGCTGTGGTCTGTGTGCCTGGGTTCGTCCTGTCGTTGTCGTGGCTTGATGATGTGACTACTGGTCATACGAAGAAGGTAGGTGATGTGTAACTTGTTGAAGTTATTCCTCAAGTTAAAATCTACCTGCAGGTTGTTACTAACGCCATCATGCTCTCAGCATACTGCATTGGCAACTCGGCTGGCCCCTTCATGTGGAAGACACAATACAAGCCGCGGTAGGTTATTCTTCGAGTGACTCTAGGAAGTCGTCTGTCCGGTACTTCTCCTTATCATCCGTGCCGTTCTCGTCCGAGAGAACAAGATCCGTGATGCTGAGCCTGTTGACGATGAATGATCGAGAGAATCACCGAGGATGGAAAGCGTGTAGAAGTTAAGGTCGACAAGGTGGGTTCTCCGAATTGATGATGACCGTTTATATACAAGGCTTATACCTTAACTTTACTAGGAATTCCTAGATTTGACGGGTAGGCAAAACAGGGACCTCAGATATGTTTCGTAACATTAAGCATGCGTAATCCCTCTGTACGTTCATTGTTAGGGTTCTTATTCGTGGCACCTACTCATTGATAACAGGACCAGGGTGGTATCATGGCATCGCACCTTTATGTACATGTCAATTACAAGAAACTGCACCCAATCGCCTGAGCTTGAACTCGGAAATCATAGTATATATGTACCTCGCGCCTCAAAACTCAATGATAATTCAAGATGCTGACGCAGAGCTTCTGTAGTCGCCCTACCTGGTGCTTGTAGCTATGTCATCTTTCGGCCGGTGGGACGTTCCAACATGATCCTCAAGCTAGCCTGTTAATCCTCAATTGTAGGATATAATTGAGGACTCGGAAACCCGAGCCGGTAAGTGGACCGTCAGCTTTCCCTTGCAGAAGGGTCTAAAATATTGCACCTGTCAGGTGAACTTGCACTATTTTCGCATTTCAGCAGTGCTAGATGGACAGCAGATTGCTAATTGGCCTATTGCTAGCAACGCTAGCCTAGACGTAGCATAGTAGTAAGAATCGTTGATCAAGCAACAGCCCACACATGCTTCACTGCCCATCAAACACATCGAAAGGCAACTTCCAACCCGCGCTCGGGTTGACCACCCTCTGCGGAGTGTGCGAAGTTGCCGCTGTCTCCAACCTCTCAAAGTCTTCTTGGGGGAGTTCAAATACTGGTTGGAGTGAGTGATACTGCCTCATGAAAGTTTGGGCTTTCTCACCTGCAAGGTTCTCTGCGATGCGAGAAGGTGTCACGCTCTTCGGTAAGACGATCGTCTGTCGAGGTTTGGGAAGATGAGTTATGACATGATGCTACAGAGATATCGACATACGCCGCGCTGGACACTCCACGAGATGATAACCTGAGCCGGGGTGATCCCAAGTTTGCATGCGATGTCTTTAACCTGTAAGTGTATTCAGACGACGGAGTCTCGTCTTCGTGAGGTGAAATGGTACCTCAGGGACAGAAAGAGACTTTCCGACTTGCTTGTCGCTGCCCAGGGGAGAGTACGCCTCGAGAAGAAGCCCGTTCTCCTTCGACCACTACGGATTGCTCATGAACTCGAGCACAAGCGTCTAGATGTCTGAACTGGAAACATACCTGCAATAGTTCGGGTTGAGGGTTCCAAAAGTTGAGTTCGACTTGATTGACAGCTGGCTGGTACTTCAGATTGTTCGCGGTCAGATTCTGGATCCTGAATTGCAAACGATGGATTTCAACAAGGTTGATTTAAACCATAAATCATTCGAACCTTCTGATATTGAAGCTATCGGTGAGATGTCAGCACCCGTTCGACTCGATATAGATGGAACTCACTTGCTGATACCGATGTTCCTTATTTTACCCCTGTCTACAAGCTCTTCGAGCTTCTGCCAAGTAGGATATGGATCGGCAGTAAGATCCTCGTCCAAAACAGTGGTTCCCTCCTTGAATGCGACAGGCCTTGTTGGGAATCAGGAAAATGCTCAAGTTGGTGAATAACCACCTCACCAGTGAATCAAGTACAAGTCAAGATAATCGGTACCAAGCTTGGTAAGCGATTGGTCTAGCGCAGCCTCAATGTCCTCAGGCGCGTGGAAAGTGTTCCAAAGCTGTTGCCATTCAGCGAGAGACCCAACTGATTGAATCGAAGATACTACCTTTGACGTGAGCCAGAGCTCTTCACGAGGTACAGAACTCGCTTTAAGAGCTTGACCGACTTCTTCTTCGTTCTGCAACTATCGTCAAAGAGGTTCGTCGCGATAAGGGACTCGGACGTACACGGTAAATCCAGGCTCCATCGATGTGTCTATAGCCGGTCGACAAAGCGGTCTAAAAGCACGTGAGCGTAAGTACTCGAGGAAGTGTAGGGTACGTACCTTTACAGCATTTCCGACTTCCCCCTGGCTAGCCTGCCATACACCTGTAATAAATGATTAGTTTAACACGAACTTGATAAGCATTTATCGCTGCCGTACCCAACGCAACTGAGGGGATCTTATCTCCCGATGGCAAGGTATAGTGAGAGGGCAGATTAGCCAGTGTAGAAGAGTTACGCTGCGGGCCATTGCAAGCAGACAAGAAGGCCCTAGACCTGGCCATCCTCATACAAGGGATGGAAGCACCCAAAAACATAATGATGGCGATGACGAGGAAAGGAGACCTCCTTTTGCGCGGGTCTTTACGTTGGAGAGATTCGTGATCTCCAGCATCCTTATCGAATGTGGGGAGTTGGTGATATTTCTGTGAGAACGACATGGTTTGACGTGGCTCAGTGGGCCTCAGGAGTTCACGCCTGGATGATATATGTCATGTATATAAGCACGGAACGGATTCCGAGTCCGCGGAAGCACTTCGCGTGACTGCTAAAGGCGGCCGTGCGTCATACCATTTTCGATCATCATCTTCCCGCGTCGCTTTCTGTCTTTTCCATTATTGAATACAGGAACTTGCATGGTGGATGAGACTATCATTTGTATTGTGAGATGATCGGTCAGAGTGGAGGGCTGCAGATATTGTTCTACACGTCGACAGTGGCTTGCAGGGCGTTCTTGAAGGGATAATGCGTGCGTTACATCGTCTTGCGAGTAAATGAGCTGTTTTCTGATTAATCCACCAGATCTTGTCGAGTTCGGACCAGGTCAAGTGACAAGTCAAACCTTGAGGTTGGCTGTCGGAGTCAGCATGAACGCATTCTTTCTACTACGTTGTATATCCTTCATCTGCTAACCCGAAAAAAGCTGAACCTGATACGACATCGTCATCTATTGAATAGTTCTTATCCGTCAAGTACTGTGTATTCATCTCCCACCCATCTAACCTGGAGTTCTCGACTTTCCGCACAGCATTGCGCTTGTGCGGCTTGTCAATCCAGGAAAGTGCATCATATCCCATGCTACTTCCCAGGATAGTCAGCACTATATATAATACACACCTGTACTTCATGATCTAGTGCTGCCCTCCATCGTTGCCCATAATGTACACCACATCTTCTCTCTTTTTCCACACTCTAGCCCAGGTCGGCATCACCCACGCATTCGTAAACTGGGGCTCTGATCACCCTGCACTCCTCGAAGACCTCCAACGCCAACGCGCCGACCATGGCAATACCGCTGTCGAAATAATCACTTGCCCTAATGAAATGGCTGCGTTGAGCGCGGCACAAGCATTTACACAGGTTACGAATACGCCCGCCGCAGTCATTGTACATGTTGATGTCGGAACTCAGGTTAGTGCCTATATGCTCGGCATTCTAGGAGATTGCCGTCAAACACTTTGTGATAGGCCCTTGCTGGTGCCGTTCATAATGCGAGTAAAGGAAGAGTTCCCATCCTGGTGTTTGCTGGGGCATCCCCGTCTACTATGGAAGGAGAGTTGAAGGGGTCAAGGAACGAGTGGATTCATTGGATGCAAGGTAAGTTACCCACTTGATTGGTTGAAGATAGACCTCAGATTCTTTATGCGTAGACGTACCCGACCAACCTGCCATTGTCAGGCAATACATGCGTTTCACTGCACAGATTAACGCACCCGAAAATATACCTCACCTCGTCAGACGTGCCCTCCAAATGTAAGCTCCTTTGGTTCATTCGAACTCGAGATTGGCTAAAATGTGCACCCCAGTGCTACAAGCGAACCAAAAGGACCAGTATATCTTTGGGCGCGCAGAGAGGTATTGGAGAAGGAGATCGATGAATCACTTTTCAGCTCTTCAGCATCTCTTTACAAATGGCCTTCGATCGAGCCAAGTGCACTCTCTCCCTCAGGTAAATTACCATAGTAAGTGAGAGCACTGGATGTTACTTATCGTGCTTGCAGCCGTGAACGTAATTGGTGACGCCCTGGCTCAGGCAAACAACCCACTTATCATCACGTCATACATTGGACGGAATCCTGCAGCCGTCGGCGCCTTAGAGATGCTTTCCCGGCTGATGGCTATTCCTGTATTTGTGACCTGCCCCAGCGCCACCAACGTATCTCTCTCGCATCCATTCTTCGTGGGCGTTTCTTTCCTCGCACCTGGCACACACACCCCGCTGCTCAGCACAGCAGACGTGATCCTCGTAATCGATGCAGAGGTACCATGGATCCCAATAAACAAGGACAGTCGAGGCAACCCCGAGCGCCCCAGCGATGACGCCCGCATCTTCGTAATCGACTCTGGCGACCCTCTCAAAGAAACCATCGGCATGGATCACGTCGCCGGCGTTGCAGAGCTTGTTTCCCGTGCCAACGCTGAAGTCGCGCTCTTCCAACTCCTGAACTCCGGGAGCACAGGCTCAGCGACGGGATACTATACGCGTTCTAGGAGCATACAAGCGATTCACGATGCGTTCATCGCAGACATGCGTAACGCGGAGGCAGTCATGTCCGAACCGAATGTGCCGTATCTGCCCTCGCGCATCTTTGGGGCTCTGCGTACGGCGGTGGAGAATAAGGTCCCGCATCCAGCGAGTACACTTTACCTGAACGAGACTATCAGTAACTACCCGCTTTCATGGTCACATCTGCATCCTGACACGCCTTTGGGCATGTTGAGCTCCGGCGGCTCGTCACTCGGCTGGGCATTAGGTGCAGGAATCGGTGCGGTTCTAGGAGGGGTAAATGCAGGCAAGGGTGCAGGGAAGGTGGGGTACGAACTGGTAGTGAGTGTGGTGGGTGATGGTACGTTCTTGTTTGGGGCACCCAGCAGTGCGTTCTGGATGGCGAGGCGGTATGAAACGGTGAGTGTCACTTACTAATATTTTGAGTGATGAGTTCTGAGGACGCATTGAATGACAGCCCTTCCTGACCATCGTTTTGAACAACGGAGGCTGGAAATCACCAAAACTCTCCATGTTGGGTGTGCACCCCGAGGGGCACGGCTCCAAGGTCACTGGAAATCAGCTTACAGTGGGCTTTGGGCCTGATATGCCAGACTATGTGGGTATCGCAGTAGCTGCGACTGGGGGGTGGGCGTGGGGAAAACGTGTCGCTGCGGGTGATTCCCTGTGGGAGACGATGACGGAAGCTGTGCGAATTGTGGTCGAAGAGCGGCGGTGTGCGATCGTGGAGTGTGTATTGGAGAGTATTTGAGTGGCGAGGATACAGACTCAGGTGCGCTGGTTGCTATCGGGTCCACGCTGTAAAATTGGTTGGTTGGGTTTGCGCTTATACCCCTAGAATGTAACGAATGTCATGAATACACTGGGCGTCCCATCGTCGCTAGATGATGTGCGACCTCTATAGATTGACTGTCGGTATATTTTTACTACATGAATTAACACTTTGCAATAAATGATAGGCGTTCTTAGAACAGCCAAAATTTTATCTCTCTATCTCTACGAGAACATTGAAGTGTCTCTAAACGAGTGTCTGGTGTTTCAGAGTTCGCAAGACAATCGCATCCATCAGTTTGAAGGTGGCAGAGAGAAATTTTGTTGAGGAAGGCTATAATATATCGGACAGAGCTGCTTCGAAGAATCTACCGATGATCATCAGACCAGCTCTGATAGTCTGTGGTGCAATGTACTCACCACTGAGAGGCTGCGAAGCCGCCACATCTTGAGAAGCCTCTGCAAACACCAAAGCCATCCCGCTACGCTCATACAAATCAAAGTCCATCCAGGCTCCGCAAAAGAAACAAGTAACTCACGAGTATAGATGCCAATCGATATGACTACACAAAAGTCCCAAAGACATCAACATCGACGATGAGGTATCACGAACGATGCTTACCAGTGCAACAGCCACGGCCCAGGGTTATCAGTGATGAACCGGATGGTCACGTAGTCGCCAATAAAGCCGGTGTTCACTGTATCGCGCAATACGGGGTTGATGTAGTTGTATCTGCTACTGCCCGCACTTCTGATGACAGCGAATTTGTGCTAAGAATCGTTTATTAGTACGGGTGTGCATAGATGATGTGTAAGACGTACCCCGTGCAGGTGAAATGGATGCTGTTGAAGTTTCAGTAGAGGGCATGCAGCTACGTGGTTTTGGGACTTACAGGTCGTGCTGGGGCTAAATCAGGAATCCATGAAATTTCGATAACCCTGTTCCTTGGTAGAAAATATATGGAACCATTGGGTGCCATTTCAGAAGTCGACACATCACCGTTCAGCAACTGTAGTAGGAAAGGGATACTAGGAGAAGTGTACTGCACGCCGTTGACAAGAAAGTTGAAATTGGTCTCATTTTGTGCAAGAACGATATTCAGCTTGATGGCTGCGCCGTCTTCCTGAAGCAGCATAGGCAGAGATGGATACAACGGGTGTAGGTCAGTTTCTTGTAGAGCGACCGGGTTTGGAGTTAGCCTGATCTCAGGGTCTGCATCGGCAGAGCCTGCATATCGTAAGATGGCCATGGAGCTTATACCTAAGTTGGGGACCGCATGCACCCAATAGTTGTCGACAGGCCGATTTGTTTCAAGAATGAAGGAGTACCTCTGTGAGGCGTAAATCTGGATAGAGTCGACTGCGAGCGGCTCGACGTATTGACCATCAGCTTCGATTATGATAAGCTTATGGTCATCGATCGAGAAAACATAGTTGGGCTTGCACGCCATGTTCAGTAAGCGGAATCGATATCGCTTGTATGGCTGAACGTTGATGATGGCGTAAGGTGTGTCTTGCACTCCTGGATAACTTCCGATACCATTGATAAGCACCGAGTCTGGAACCACCTGTCTCTGGACTTGAGGAGATGGTACATGGTACCTGAAAATGGAGCTGAGTCAACCATTCGAAAGAACCGTTGGCTTTGGCTTACCAGTCCATCAGCGTGATGACCGTAGACTCTTCGCTTAGGTGTCAGAACTGATATTTCACTTTGTCTGGCTCACTGACCATCATCAATATCGTACAGAAAGCGGTACGGATCTTGTGGGTCATAGATAATCAGTGCACCTCGTAAACCGTCACAGTATTGGACCTGAGTTTCGTTCAGTAATCGGTTGTAAGTGAGTAACTCAAAACACAAACTCCATAATGAGAGTGGTACCAGTAGGTCCCTACTTGTTCGCCAGCATTGAACTCGTACAGAAAAGAATGACCAGGAGAGATCGGGCATTGCGTCACAAATGCTGCGCCGTCCATTTGGTTACTATGGCGTTGGAATAGTCCATGCCAGTGCTGTCCGGGGTAGAATATCATCAAATGCTCTATGTTTCAACCAACTAGTGCTTACGATGCTGGTACTTGTGAGCATTGTTTCATCATTTAAATGATTGGTCACGTTGATTTTGAATGTGTCCCCCTTAAAAGCACATAAGATCAGCAAGAGTTTGTATACACAAAGTAATCTCACTTTCTGACCCGTAATGATAGGCCCGGGGAGAGTGCCGCCAGCAAGAACCGCCCTGCCATGACCTCAGTAATCAAGCAGGATGAAAATTACACAGCAACTAACGATTTGAGGAATCCGTCGGGAGATACTTGAGCATTTGCGATGACTAGGTCAGCAACTGGACCAATCGTAACGGCGTAACTCTGAAGACTTGTCAGAATGCACAGCAATATATAGTGTTGAATCATGACCCAGAGGATGAGCGAAATGCAGCACATTCTTTTGCTTAAGTAGTGCACTTTGTATTCACCTTTTGGATCTGGACCTCGCCCTGCTTCTTTTCCGGGCCCGTGGATCGAAGTTGTCGACTAGTATAAAGCAACCATCTCCAGTGGCGATATGGTCCCAGTGGCTTCCCACCTGTAAGTCAGCACTGATCAAGTTGGATATATAGTAGAACGAAACGACAACACTACTTAGCTTCAGACTACATATGATACTCACCTCAGCGGCACGAGGTAGTACAAGCTCTTAGATCTTGCGAATTTCTCGGTGCTGGCTAGCGTTTACAAGTGGCGTATGGATTCCCCGAAGCGTTGGAATAAGGTTCCAGACTCTTCGGAATGTTCTTGCGACAAAGATGAAAACTTAGCATCGCATGAAGAAGTAACATCACCAGGATGAACAATGCTTCGGGGTTTTCAAATGTGGAGCAGTGGCAATAAGTTGTGTGGTAGTTGCTTGATAACTGAGAGTGGGCAGCAGAGTCGACTTATGTACGCTGGTTGCAACCGCCACGTGCACCACGTCACTTATCATGATGTCGACGCACATCCAATACACATTACACACACCTAAAGGATGAAAGTGATAGATAGGTCAAGTTTTATTATATCTCGGTAGTTCAGGGAGCCATACCATTGTTTATCAGTGGGATTTGATTCGTCGGATGACACTCCGGCGGCTTGTTGTCATCAAGTACTCGTGGCATGGAAGGCGTTCGACCTCCTTACGATCGAAGGTGTGAATCGTGATGACCACCGAGGACAGGTGAGATGTCTGCAACTTTTCGGAGGCGCTGTTATCATTCCGGGTAATCTGCGAAAGGAAGGTAGTCAAGATGCAGACTATAATAGGTCACGAGTATTCCTATTTCTACAGAGCTAGGGACGGAACGAGATGTAAGGACGATCGATGCATACCTCTGAGGATCGATGAAGGAACTTGAAGGTAGCAAGGGACCACGAGTATCGGCGGCGCAACCCACGGGTAGGTACCAGCACAACTAAGAATACTGATAGCAAATCCAGTACATGTCCGGTCATCGGGGATGATACAAAGGAATGTAAAATTAGCCCAGGACCAATCTTCGAGATCAGCTGTGATGAAGCTAATGATTACATAGTCATCAACTCCAGTAGTCACGGGATCGTGCATGACAGGGTGAAGGTAATTATAACTAATGACAGCGAAGCTGTAAACCATCTGTTGTATGTACATACATAGATGATATCTGAAGACGCACCCCATAGAGGTAGAATGGATGCTGTTAAAGGGTCGGTCTGTTGTCAATCAAAGGCATATGCATAGGCGATTATGAGAAGGACTCACAGGGAAGCATGGGGGATCATCAGCGTTCCAAGAACTTTGTCCCGCAGAAGAGTGTATACAGAGTCATGAGGTGCCAGATTCGAACCCGTCACATCACCGCCCAGTAGCTGCAGCAAAACTGGGACACTATTTGAAGTGCACTGAACACCGTTGATGTGGAAGCTGAAATTGGTCTCATTTTTCTCAAGAATCAGATGGAACTTAACATCTACGCCATCTTCCTTGATCAAAAGAGGAGGAGGCAGATATAAGGGGTGTAGGTCAGTCTCATTCAGAGTGACCGAGTCTGGAATTGTCCTGATCTCGGGGTCCACATCGCAAGAACCTGCATAGCCCAAGATGGCCGCGGACTTTGTTCCTAAATTCTGATCTGTATGCATCCAATAGTGGCCGGCAGGCTGATTGATCTCGAGAATGAAGAAATACTGTTCTGTAGCGTAGATCTAGATGGAGTCGACCACGAGTATTGGGCATCAACTTCGATGATAGTGAGCTTTATGGTTATAATTACCAACCGAGAATATAAATGTCGTTAGGCTTGCAAGCCATGTTGACTCGAGGTACTAAGCGGAAACGATACCGCTCGTATGGCTGAAGGTTGATATGACAGCGCAAGGCATATCAGGTCCCTCTTGATAACTCCTGACACCGCTGATAAGTACTGATTCAGGATTTACCTGTCTTTGGATCTAGAGGCGATGGAGCATCATGATAATACTTGCAAAGTCGGAGCCGGTTACATCACGGGTATTGATTCATCGAGTTTGCTTGCCGATCCGATGATGGTACTTGAACTCTTCGTTTAAATGTCAGAAACGCAATCCATTTCTCCGAGTTCACTGACCATGACCATTATCAACATCATGTGAGAAACAGTATGGATCTTGTGTGTCGTAGACGATAAGTGCACCTCGTAGACCATCACAGTATTGAACTTGGACTCCATTCAGTTGTCAATAAATGAATAAACTGGACACGTTACCCTTGAAGTTATGACACTGGGGGAACAAGACAACTGCATCTCATAGAGTCCAAATGAGATGTCAGTATCATGTTGAAGTCGAAATGGACACGATTTACCTGCACACCAAGTATACATAACATCCAGACCCTGTGGTCAGGATTTAGAGGATTGAAAAATACACACAGTGGCGATAGATAGGGCTTTATCCCTGACAATATCCGGCACGAATGGGGAG